GTCTACTTTATAGTATATTCTGTGAAGCGCTTTGAGACATCTCGAAGGTGTGATATGGCACTATATCAAATGCAAGGATTATTATTATATGCCCACATCAGCACATAAATCCAGCCTAATAATACCAAATCTGCAGTTTTGGAGCCTTTTTATTTTGTGCTGAGATCAGAAAGGTCTGCCACTTCTACCAGTGTAGACTTCATATTACATTTTCATTATTAGATATTTTTGTATATTTCCAGCTTGCAATTTGGGGAAGTAAGAATTGGCCCTTGTGTAATATCATTCTGGCTTTAAGTGTGCCTCGTGAATTGTCCTGAAAATTGTGCACTCAGTCCTTATGTTGATGAGGAATTTCTCCGGGGCATGTGATTGGAATGTAAAACCATAGCTCAAAATTTTTAATTTCTACTAATTTACCAGGTTTTAAAAATGAATTGACTATGGTCAGTCTCTCTTTCTTAAAAGGAAACTTAATGAATATTATGCTGTGTTACTGTAAAAGTAATAAATAATAATAATCCTTGCATTTGATATAGCACCTTATCAGGTCAGGCATTGGACCCGAGCAGGGGGTTGGAATCAGGGAGGGTGGAGTGCAGAGAGGGTAGGGACAGGAGTGTGGCCGAAGGCGGCGGTTGAAGAGGAAGGTTTTGAGACGTGCCTTGAAGAAGGCAGGGAGAGAACGAGGCAAAGGAATGTGGGATGGAGTTCTAAAGGATGGGGCCAGCGAGGCTGATGGCCTGACCGCCGATGATGGGGCGGGGCAGGCGGAGAACGTGGAGCATGGCGGAGCCTGCTGAATGGCAGGAGTTGACAGGTTGATATGGTGTCTCAATAGAAACGTCTCAAAGTGCTTCACAGATTATATTGTAAAGTCCTGTAGCTCAGTGCTTAGAGCGCTTGCCTCGCAAGCAAGAGACCTGGGTTTGATTCCCAGCAGGGCGAAACCTTGGGCAAGTTTATTACACACCTGATAATAACCCCTCAAGAAAAAGACACAATAATAAAATTGGTCACTGTTTGTAAGACACCGTTGTGCGCAATTGGCTGCCATGTTTCGCCCACAAATGATAGTCAATTCACTTTATAGTATATTCTTTCTGAGACGTCTAGAAGATGCGCAAAGTGCTATATCAAATGCAAGGATTACTTATTTTATTTTAAAGTGGATTGACTATATTTTGTGGGCAGAACACAGCAGCCAATTGAAATTACTATTACAGCCAATTTAAGGCAGTTTACACCAGGTTAGCTGTTAAGACAAATGGAGTCAGTAGCAAAAGTATGAGCAGGCGAGTTGCTGGCAGCATCAGCCTTGAAAACCTAGTGGAAATCCAAATGCAAATGTATTATAAAAAATCTTTTTCCCAAACTAATACAAAGTACAGTATTAATACTAAAAATTAATACATTTATGGCAAATCTAATATTTTTACACAGAGTTAATATTGGGCAAACTTGAACAAAGGGAACATCCCCAAACATTAGCATTGCTTTGAGTATTCTTATTCTTTATTTCTATGGGGTTGCTCAAATTCAAACTAATCTTTTTGCTTATGATTTTGCAAGGTGCATTATGTTGGAAATATTGATAGCATGGACCATTTACGCAAGATGGATTTTAAAGTGGGCAGTTGTAAAGATAATATGTATTGCTGCCCCACCACATATGGAAGAGACTCTCAAGGTGTAAATTATCTTCATTTATCTCAAGAGATCTTGATAATTTTCTGGTTAAGAATGGTATTGCAGGATTATAGGGATAAGTATAAACAGATGATCAAACACTCAATGGAACACATGCTGCTAAGAGCTTTTAAATGTAACGCAGTGAGGGAGAGTGAAACTGGTTAAAATTAATAATATTGATTTTAAGGTTAGATAAATATTCCCGTTATTCACTCAAATCGATTTTTAATGAGCTAGGGGAAAACTTTGTTTCAGTGTGTTATATTAGATTCTATTTTTTTTTGTATGTGTGTCTAACACATATGGGAAACAATCCCTATGCTTAAGCATACCGAAAACCTTACCGAAAATGAACATATGCATGTCATCTTTACATGGAAATTTCCCTGTGTCTGGAATGGAGTGCACATTCTCCTTGGAGGGCTGGGCCCCATTAACCTAATTTCTGAGAGTAGTAGGCAAGATAGGAGAGAAACTTGGCTTGGGGACTTGTGTGCTGAGGTTTGACAAGCTAATTCTAATAATATATTAGATAGGAATACATGTTAAGATATATCTTGAAGTTTGACTTGGTTGCCCTATTCCTTACACTAAATTACAGTCTAATTACCCTTCTGCTACAGAATTATCCAGAAAGATGTTTTTGTATGGAAATTTTGAAATTCCGTACAGCAAATTTTAATTAGGTTTCTTTCAAATATTAAGTGTTGACGGAATATTTTTCCCAGAAAATGAAATGTTTCATTGCATTCTTGTTGCCAAAGCATTGACAAGCCGACTGATTGGTGCAGTTCTGGCAGTTGTTCTGGCATCTCTTTTCTCAAAATATACTTTGAGGCGTCTCAACAATGTGATAAGGCGCTATATCAAATATAAGTATTATTATTACTTCAGTTCATAACTTTGCTCAGGGAAAAGAGCCAAATTTATGTTCTGCACAGCTTCTGCCTTAAAGGAATTTTTTTGCTTATTTTGTGAAATGAGCATCATGTACTCTGATTCCTACAGAGAGCTATTTGTAAGGTGTTTGGCCATTGAGCTAGCCTGTTTCTAAACTTATCTGGGCCCATTTACTTCCTGGAGCAGTGGAAGTGACGCTCACTGTCGTGAGCCTACGACTGCTTGGAAAATTCTGCAAGCCTGCAGCTAGGCAACAGCACACACCTTGTGCTTTTCTTGCCAACACACACTGGGGTCCGCAAGCCTTGGCTCTTGCCAATCTGTGCCTAATACTTCCGAAATTGGGTAAGCAGGATGTGTGCCTCCAGGGAGAGAGTGCGCTTCCACTCCAACAATCTGTCTCTGGGATTTCCATGTGTAGTTGGGATGAATGGAAATCTCAGCTTGGTTTGGATACTCTTAAGCTGGTGATGGGTTTCCACATGTGTCAGACACCTGACTGCCCCAACAAAATTGTACCTGTGCTCACACATCATTCAGAGCTGCTGAACTCTTCCTGTGAAATAAAAGGGACATCAGTACGCCCCTGGCAGTACTGAACGATCTAACGTCCTTGAAGCACCAAGTTCGGCATCTGAGACTGAGGTGAACAAAATTATTTTAAAACCTTTTTTGTTTTGTGGCTTTCTTCAAGACATGTTCCATGTTTAGATTTTGGAGAGGCTGGGTGGGAGTGGAGGTTCTCTGCCAAATTTAGCTCTTCCCTCCTCTTCTCCCTCCTCTCCTTTCTACTAGGGTATGTTTTGACAGATGTCCTCAAATACAACACCCAAGTTGTTATTGTTCATGTGTGAGTATTGACAGGCTGGGGGGAATAATTTAAGGTGCACATGCCCCTCTTTGGGCCAGAATTAGAGGAAATCATAGCTCATCAGCAGGCTTTAATTTTTGTGTGCTACAGTTGTGGATATTTTAAGACACTATAAGACACTGTGAATGGTGCTGTATAAATACAAGTTGTTGTAGTATTAAAACCTGGGAAGTGGTAAGCATCACAAACAGGACTGCAGGGATCTAGAAGTGGACCTGCACCAATGAACCCTTTTCCTTCATGCATATTAATATTCAGATTGATTTTAATTCTCATAAGTTTATATTAATATAAGCCTCTATTATTTGGAATTAAACTTACCCTGCATTGGAGTAGTAGGACTAATGTGAAGACCACAAGTCACTATGTTGATGTACAACAGCAACAGCAACTTGCATTTATATAGCACTCTTCACACCGGATGGCATCTTGGAGCTTCTAGACCATATGTAGCTTCTGGTCTGGAGACTTTGAGGGAACAGTAAAGCTTCCCCATAGCATTAGCAGGGTAGCTGCTCATCCTTTTCTCTACATGTGAAGCCCAAGTTAGAGCAGTGAGACCCATTTTTTAAAAGCGATGGAATGGAGCTACACCTTAGATATATTGATTTTTAATTTCAAGCATCAGCATCTGACAGCTCATTCAGAGTATGCAGGTCAGGTTAACCCTGAAAGATCATTTGTCATCTTAGTATCCAGACTGAATTTGTAACTTAAAATCAGCTTCAGTCAAGTAATGTTATGCTTCAAACTGTAACTAACCCTTAAATAATGCGCAGGTTTTTAGCTCTTTAGCCTTTGGATGCAGGCCTTCCTCCCACTGTATAGATCATTGGTGAGACTATACTAAGAGCACTATGTACAGTTATGGTTGCTGCACTACAAAAGGATATTGGAGAAATCGAGAAGATACAGAGGCCAACCAAAATGATTGAGGGAATGAAAGGACTAGACTATGAGGAGAGACTAAGTAAATTGGGCATGTTCACGCTGGAAAAGAGAAGATGGAGAGGCGACGTGATTGCTGTCTTTAAGATTCTGAAGGGACAAGACAATATAGATCATGACAGGCTGTTTCAACTTGTCCAGAATAGTAAAACCAGAGGACACGGCCTGCGATTGAAGGGGGTTAAATTCAGAACAATCTATGCAAACACTGTTTTAGTGAGTGAATAGTCAACCTGTGGAACAAGCTCCCTGGGGAGATGGTTGAAGTAAGAAATGTTGTTTCCTTCAAACACAGATTAGATAGTTTTATTTTTGGAAATAACATGGGATATAGTACATGGGTAGTTTGGGACATATATGCATGTGACCACCAGGTAGGTGGAAGACGAACTAGATGGAGCTTGGTCTTTTATTCGTCTACCATTTCTTATGTTCTTATGTGTCTTAATTTTACAGTACTGCCCAGTGGGGTGAACCAGTGCAGTTTCAATTTCCACACTAATCGCTGTGCTGGATTATGAAGAACAGCTTGTTTGGAGCAATAGCCTTGTTATAATTAACCCGTGCTTCTCCAATCTTCTCAATACAGGAGTCGAAGTTTAAAGAGACTGGAGTAATTACTCCGGAAGAGGTGAGTGTGGAAAGTTAATTTGTTTTGACTCTGGAATCATGGAACATGTAGATGAGACATTCATCAGAACTCTTTTGAATTTGGAAAATAATAAAAATAATAATAATAATAATCCTTGCATTTGATATAGCGCTTTTCACGTCTGGAGGACGTCCCAAAGCGCTTCACAGAACACACTGTAAAGTGAATTGACTGTATATTTGTGGGCGAACGCGGCAGCCAATTGCGCACAGCAATGTCCCACAAACAGTCGTAGATTGAAAATGACCAATTTAATTATTGTTTTTTAGTTTTGGAGGGATTATTATTAGGCTCTGTGTGGAGTAAGGAAACTTGCCCAAGGTTTCGCCCTCTGCCTGGAATTGAACTCAGGTCTCTCACTTGCAAAGCGAGTGCTCTAACCACTGAGCTACAGGACTCCACTATGGACTATGTCTTCTTTTATTTATAACTTGGTTTGGCTGTTATAGAAACAACTTTACTAAGTAAAGAACAAGTTGAATTTATTGATATAAAACGCTTTATCCATCACCTTGGGACGTCCTTCTGACTTGAAAGGTTCTAGATAAATGTAATTTGTTGTTCTTGTTGCTTGCATCTGGAGAGCATGGTGACATTCGATTGCATCAGAGAGAAATTCCTTTAAGCCTGGTTTCTTTAATTAAGGAATCCTATTGGAGGTCACTGCATGTTAGACGAAAAATGCAGATGAACTGCCTCTGCATAGTGTAGCTTGGTTCCAAAAACTTTTGGAGCCAAATAATAGCTCCAAATAGTTGATAGTGATTACAAATTTGAGCGAACCTCTATCAAAACTCTTTATGCCAAATGTCCTTGGTGGATCATTTGGTTGACCACTGGATTTGGACTTGAGTTATTGGTTTGAATCCTGGAGCGTTCGTTCGTGGGTACCAAATGATGTTAATTTGCTTTCTGTATTAGTGGTACAGAGACTTTCGTACTGATTAAAAATGAGTCAACCAAATCTGGTGTTATTCCTTTTCATTTAAGTAATCGTATATTTTCATTTCAATTAGCCAAGTTCTGTACATCCAAGCTTAAAATAAATATTTCCTTGATAAGAAGGTGGAATCCTTGGTGCTGCATTTTTCTATGTCCAAATAAGTAAGTTGAATATATTCTATATGTACTCTTCAACTTAACCCTGGTTCTTCCCTGAGATGGTGCTGCATCTTACTGCATGTATATACAGGTTTACCAAAAAGCCATGATACTATTACAATGTCTAATAAATCTGAAAGAAATTATTATTTTTTTAGAATATATATTTTTTTAGATAATAGAGTAGTTATCATGACTTTTTGGTCAGCCTGTATAAAAAATATATTATTATCAATTTATTTTGTGCTAATTTCAAAGTGTGAGCTTCTTATTGATAAGGTTATTTACTGATTTTGAAACTTCCTCCCAAATATATAAATGTAAATTGTATTAATTCCATAAATAAGAATTTGGGACATTTCTTTTATACACTGACTGTTTCAATTGCTGACTCCTTGACTGCTATCTTAGTGGCTATTCTTAACCTCCATGCATATTCAGTGAACTGTTTTTCAAACAAGATATATTTACAGTAACTTCCCAATTTTGTTAGAATTGCTGAATTCAAGCTTAGATTCAATGACCAGTGAAGGGCACGGTTTAGATTAATTTACATAAGTTTTCCTTTCTTATCTGGGTGATATTTACAGTAGACATTTATCATCATTGTGGAATGATTTTTATACCAATTAATATACTTAATTTTGTGAGTTTCCTTTTATTATTTTACAGTTTGTGGCAGCGGGAGACCATCTAGTTCATCACTGCCCCACCTGGCAATGGTAAGTGAATCGGGGGTGGGGAAAAGATGTCATGTGAACTAGTGAGAATGAAAATCTACAAAAATAATGATAATCCTTGCATTCGAAACATTGTTGAGACGTCTCAAAGCATTTCACAGAAAATATTGTAAAGTGGATTGACTGAGTATGTTATGGGCAAAATATCTACAGAAAGCAACTAAATTACTATTGATGGCAACTGTTTACATATCTTATTTCATATCGCAAACAAATTATGCTTGGATGCCAGATTGTAGAATTCTAGAATACACCAATTATGAACTCCTCAGCTTGAAACAAAATAATGTATTTAATCTTGTGTTGCTGATAGATAGTTTTGATCCCCCCTACTTCGCTCTGGATCTTGCGTAAGTCTTTGTTACACCCTGATTCCTCCTCATCACTCCAACTGATCAGCACCTTAATCGTAGCAAAGATGTATTTTGCTCCTTTAATATTAATTTCCCTAAATAAAATTCCACTAACAATGTTTTTTACAACTTCAAAAATCATTAAGTGCAAAAGTGCTTTTCTGGTTCCAAGTTCTACAGTTGTGAATGTGCAGTCGTTGTGAAAACTTATTGGAAGTGATTTTTTAAAAAATATGTTTTTGTAAAAATTTCGATAGCACTAGAATGAAGTGGTAATATAATTTTACTTACTACATTAAAAATCCATTTCCTATATGAAACAAAGTTCTGTTCATAAAGGGTTGCTTAGCTCTGATGTTTTTTAATCTAACTTGGGTTTACTGGCTCTTGAGCTCTTCAGAAGGTAAATGTTAGACACAAGTAATACTTTAAAGTTTACAATGCGATTTTTGTTTGGTATAAAAAGGCAATTCATTAAACATTTTGAAGAGGAAGAGTATAAAAGGGCATAGGGAAATAATGATAATGATAATCCTTGCATTTTGTATAGTGCCTTATCACATCTTTGAGACGTCTCAAAGCGCTTCAGAGAATATATTGTAAAGTGAATAGCCTGGGCGAATGAAAATGGTGGTTCAGATAAATAATAGCTAAGAGGCTGTTCAGCCCAGCGAGTCTGTTCCATCCGCTTTAGATTATGGCAGATCTTCGTACTAATGGATGAGCTGTGGGGTGAATGGTCGTCTTGTTTCCCATGATTTCTATGATTCATTTCAATTGACAAACATAAGTTAAGTAATTTCAGAGTTAATGAACTGATAGCACCTGTTTGAACTTATTTCTTCAGGGGAACAGGGGAAGATTCCAAAGTCAAGCCTTACCTGCCCAAGGAGAAGCAGTTTTTGCTGACTAGAAATGGTATGAGAAGTATTGTACTTACTGAATCCTTTAGGTCACGTTGACACACATGCAGAATTATTAGTGCAGTCTCCTTGCTATTTGACCTTGTGCATAGTTCTGCAAAATATGTTTTTTACTGAACTATTCGGTACAGGTTTTCAGTGCCTACTTTCAGCAGCAATTCGATTTAATACTTTAAATATTTGGATGCACCCATAGTAAATTTTACTTAACAGTTTATTGGACCATCTTAGATCATTGCTTTTCGTTTTGAGTAGAAGGAGATTTATAAAACTGATTTTGCTTCTTTTCTTTCACCACAGTCCCCTGCTATAAGAGGTGCAAACAGATGGAGTACTCTGACGAATTTGAAGCAGTCATTGAAGAGGACGATGGAGATGGGGGTTGGGTGGATACATTTCACAATCCAGGTACTGGGAAAATAGATCAACATGATGAATTACGCATTGAGAATACAGCACAGACCAGATAATATGCAGTGAGTTACTTGGTATTTGCATCTGAAGGTCTATGAGGCAGTAGGATTTGTAACATATCTTGCTTAGCATTACTGAATTCCATTTGAGCTATAAATTTCTGAGTAGACATGAGTAGTAAAATGCAGGTTTATGAGAAATAAATCATTTGCCTTACATTTTCTGATCCACTGATTAAGAGGAAGCAGATTTCTTTTGTTTGTATTGAAACTAGTTTTGGATGTTAAAACATGAATATGCCTTTTTATTTGTTCTGTGCATCTCCTTTGCTGGTGATCTGCGCAGTACAAATTCAACAGAATGCACATGTTCCTATGGTTATTTGTTTTGGGGCAAAGGATGTTTAAGGTTAAAATGGGTTGGATTTCTTAACAAAAAGGAATTCCACAGGAATTCTGCTCCGGATGTAGATCCTCGTTGGACTGGATTTTTGTGGGTTGTTGTAACGTACTTGTTACTGGAAGAATTGTACAATTTGCAACTTGAATTCCTTGTTAAGAAATCCAACAAACTAAAGCCCTTAGAGAATTAGGGTCGGTTTGAAGTGATCACATTCAATGACTACATGAATTTTGATCAGAATTTAGTGTAATTAAACCTTGCCATTGGAAGATATAATAGTAATCTTTGCATTTTACATAGAGCATTATCACAATTTCGAGACGTCTCAAAGTGCTTCATAGAATATACTATAAAGTGGAGTGACTGTGTATTTTGTGGGCCAAATGCAGCAGACAATTGCACACAACAGTGTCCCACAAACAGACATGGATTGAGTGACCAGTGAAGCCCCTTACCTATCCTCATCCTCCTCATCTGAACCTCAACCCATTTTCCCTCCCTTATTCCCTCACTCACTGTCCCTCATTCCCTCCCTCACTCTCATTCATTCTCTCCCTTTCCCTCTCCCTCTCATTCATTCACTCCCACATTCTTTCCTTCCCTCATTTTCTCTCTCTCTCTCCCTCATTTTCTCTGTTTCTTTCTCCATCATTCACTCACTCGTACTCATTCTCTCTCTCTCTATTTCTTTTTACTTCATTTTGTAACCTTTAATTAGCAGGTGTTGCTGAGTTAACAGACTCGGTAAAAGAAATCACTTTAGAAAGCAAAGATAACTCAAAGTGCACAGGGAAGAACCTAGCGGGTGAGGATGAGAACCATGATGATGATGATGATGATGAAGAAGCAGCTGATATGGAAGGTAAGGTTAGAGCTACAAACGATCAGATTCACTGGTTAAAAAAAAACCTTGAAGTCTGCTCTTTAAATTTATGTGTGTTGTGTATGTGCGTGAGTTAATAATAAAATATCCTCAAGACCACGGATAGTTAATCTCCCTCTTTCATATACCAACAAAAAGTTTCTTTCAACAACAATAACAAATTACATTTGTATAGCGTCTTTCACATCAGGAGGACGTCCCAAGGTCTCATGCCAGCACACCTATTTCAAATAAACTGGCCCCACTTGCCTTTTTTGCCCAATTTTTATCAAGGTATTTATTTATTCTTAATTTAACCTTGGTGATGTGTCAACAACCCCACTTGGTCTTTTGAACTAAAACAGCAAGCTTGGTACAGGCAAGTTCAAGCCAGGGAGTATTCACCTCTATCTGCATCTGTTCCAACTCTTATGACTTGGGTGATTTTATAATCCCACACTAAATGTTAAGGGAGAAACTGCACTTCAGTTTCCAGGGACTTAGCAAAGTCATCAAGGTGATTTATGGAAGCCAGAAAGCCTCAACATGATGATCATGCCCCGTCGGCAAGGATTGTTCATTGAAATAGATAGAAAACCTACATTAAGAAATGAGGTGAGCAGGAAACTGTCTGATCTTACAAAAAGGAATCCTAATAACAGCCTTTGTACAACAATCTTACGTACGATAGTTGCTATTGACCATTTCATAGGCAATAAATTGAGCCAAATAGACTAAATTGATGGATTGTAATCCCAAAGGAGGGAATATTATGCAATGTTCATTCAAATAACCTTATTTCAAAATATCAAATGACATAACTACTAAAACTGGGATTCAGAAAAGTTTTAGAATCTTCCACTAGAGGGTGGAAAATTTGGTTTGCTTTGTTTTCTCAGCAACTAACCCCTCTCCATATATACATATGCAGGTAACAATCTGTTAATCTGTCAATAATCCTGATTAGTGTGTGCTCTTCTGACATCTTAGTAGATTTCTAAATGGCAATATGTTTTTCATTACAGCATATGAAGAGAGTGGCATGTTAGAAGATGGAGATGATGTAAGTTAAATATACAGCAAGATTCGGTAGAAAACTACATTTTTATGACTCTTTATTGGCAATTAATTTATATACCGTAGTATCAATTGACACGTTTTGTGTCAAGGTACATGAATATTATTGAAGCTTGAAATATTTATTTGGATTCGATCGACTGCAAGAGGACATTTTTTTTTAGATTTTTGTTTTCTAAATGTTTCTGTATTTAAATAAATTTAGTCGTGTTTGGCATATACTGTTCCCCAAAAGAGTGGGTTGTGTTATTCATACCTGTAAGAACGATGTCAAAGCAGAGAGGACAGTCATTATCACAGGGTGCTTGTGAGAACCAAGTGGTTGGTGAAATACAAAAGGAAACCTTTCTGTTAGGGATAGGCTTTGGATTAAAATGTAATCTAAATGGAAGAACATTGAAAGTATTATTTGACCTACTTTGAATCCAGTACCAACTTGTACAACCTAAGTTTCATTTAAAGTGATGGCTGAATGTCTTTTTTTATTTTTTGCTCACAAGGCAACTCTGGACACCAGCAAGTTAGCAGAAGATAACAAACCTAAAGCAGATGCTGCTGGAGAAGATGGGATCCTTCAGACTAGGACCTATGATCTTTACATTACTTACGACAAGTACTATCAGACTCCAAGACTTTGGTTGTTCGGCTATGATGAGGTAAGTAATTCTTTTAGTGAAAATACCGAGACTTTTTACAGTGCTACAGGTTAGTTCAGAAACTAGCTATTGTATCTTATAGGGATTTTGTAGACCATAAACACTGCATTATCATAAATAATAACTATATTTATGACAAACATTAATTGATCTGCATTTCTGGTGCAACTATCTATTAGGATTAATGTATTTAAAACTATTTGAAATGTGTTTGATCAAATTTGTTACATTGAGATCTTCTCTATTCAGCAAAGACAACCTTTGACAGTTGAAGAGATGTATGAAGACATTAGCCAGGACCATGTCAAGAAACAGTGACAATTGAAAATCATCCTCACTTGCCTCCACCATCAATGTGCTCAGTTCATCCGTGCAGGTAAACCTTTATTTGCAAACAATTGGGAGATTAAATTGGGACAAAAGAGAGTTTTATTCATGTGCGTGAAAGCAATCTTTAAATGCTCATTATGTGAACGACCAACTCATGTTTGAGGCACAGATTGAGGAATTCCCTGAAGGTTTTAAGAAGCATCATCAATAGATTGCGGAGTCCTGTAACGTATTGGTTAGAGCACTCACCTCACAAGCGAGAAGACCTGGGTTCGATTCACGGCAGGACAAAATGTTGGGCAAGTTTCCTTACTCCACACGCCCAGGGGAAATAATCCCTCCAAAAAATAATTAATAACTTAATCACTCTATCCACAACAGTTTGTGGGACACTGCTGTGCCCAATTGGCTGCTATGTTTTGCCCACAAAATTACAGTCAGTTCACTTTACAGTGTATTCTGTGAAGCGCTATGAGACGTCTCGAAGACGTGATAAGGCACTATGGCAAATGCAAGGATTATTGTTATTGTAGCCACAAATTCTTGAACTGTGTGAAACAAAAAATAGCAACATATGAAAAACAGAATCCCAGGTGTAAAGTTAATATTTCTAACACAGAACTGGACTTGATCATTGGACTGGTTGGGGATTACTCAGTTTCCAAACTGGAACCAATCCATGATACCATGTCTGTGTTATTCAGATCAGCTATTCTTACTCTTTCAACTTTCTCTCTCCACAATTGCTTGTAACATGCTATGTTGGTTTTGTGCAGATTTGCACTCATTCCTTATCTACAATTTGCGACCATGAAACCGGAAGTGACTATTTGTCCTTTGTAAACAGAAGTACATTTTGTAAGCAGCAGGTGATCAGTGGAACGCCTTTTGATTTGTGTTCGGTGGAGCTGATGCAAAGCCTTTTCTTGATAACCTCTCTGACATTTGGGATGATAATCAGAGTGTCCTTACCAATGTCACTTTGAAACACACCTGAGTACATATTGTGAAGGTACAAACCATGCATACTACAAACATTGAGTAACTCTGATAATAGCTAGAACAATCCATGACATGAGAACTGCTGTGTACTGGCAGTACAGTATATTCTGTGAAGCGTTTTGAGACATCTCAATGATGATAAGGCACTATATTAAATGCAAGGATTATTATTATGTTATCCCTTACAATTGGGGAACTACTGTTAACAAAGGCACAAACTTTTCTGTCCAGTTCTTATTTATTAATTTATTTGATTTGTAATTCAGTTCTATGCAATTTTAATGTCTTTGGTTTTATTTTGAGTGTGACTTTTCTTCGATTTGCTACACACTTGTACTTGTATATCTGGTACATGTGATTGAGTGAAAGCATTTAACCTACCTTTGCTCCCTCTTCATTTTCATTCATTTGTAAATGAATTTTCACTTGTAGTTGCAGCAAATTTGAAATTTTAACTAATTTGTTACAGACATGCAGAGGTAATGAAGAAAATCATCGAAACAGTTGCAGAAGGCGGAGGTGAACTGGGTGTACATATGTATCCTTTTAGGAATTTGAAATGATTACACTTTTGCCATTTTGTGGTAAAATTTATATGAATCGTCTATACTAATTTCGTTTTTTCGTTTGGATGATGTGGAGTTAAACCATTGAACTTTTATGTAGCATTTCAGAACGTGTTGAATTTGGCAAATTATTGAATTCAATCTTAACGTTGATGCCGGTGTTCTATAATTTTGTTAAAAGAACATGCAGAAAGCTGACTTCAAAATTATAACTACTTGGAAATCACAAAATTCTGGATGCTCTGGAAATGCATCCAGAAATGCCAAAGAAAAAAGAATAAATCTTGACGCAGTTGGAATTTCTACACCATTATTTATATATGCCTTGGGACGTCCTCCTAATGTGAATGGCGCGTTACAAATGTAATTTTGTTGTTGTATATACCAGTTACTATGAGAGACTACTTGTTAATACCCAGACAAAATGAAAGGGAAGAAATTGAAGGCTGAATTTAAATAGAATTTTTATTTATTCTACTTTATTGGTCCATAGGACCTCACAGTCTGTGCACATTTCTTGAGAAATCTGTCAAAGTGTTGCAAACTAGAACCCATTCGATAGTCTCTATAAACTGTCTGAAAGCAGCAATAGTGCAGAATAATTCCCACCACCTGACCCATTACAATATACATTGAGATTGCTGCTCACAACTTCCCCATCCTCAGAAAGATAAAAGTGAGAGAAACCTTACCAAATGTCTGTTTACATTTAGCAATTTATAGGAATAAATATGTTTCCCCTATTCTTCTGTCTTTGCCTTCTTTCCTGCACAGCAACTGAAAAATGAATTAAAGTTACCACAAATAAGGGAGTCCTGTAGCTCAGTGGTTAGAGCACTCGCTTTGCAAGTGAGAGACCTGAGTTCAATTCCAGGCAGGGGCGAAACCTTGGGCAAGTTTCCTTACTCCACACGTCTAATAATAATCCCTCCAAAACCCAAAACAATAATAAATTGGTCATTTTCAATCTACAACTGTTTGTGGGACATTGCTGTGCGCAATTGCCTGCTGCGTTCGCCCACAAATATACAGTCAATTCACTTTACAGTGTGTTCTGTGAAGCGCTTTGGGACGTCCTCCCGACGTGAAAGCGCTATATCAAATGCAAGGATTATTATTTATTATGTGGTGTTTGCAGTGCTCTTTCAGTCAATAAGGATTTCCAGATGCTATTGTGAGCTAATTAAGACCCAAGAAAATAGACTTGTGCTTTAATATTTATTTTGATCTGGTGAAACGGAAACTATTCGTAAATAAGTCATTCATTCCAGTTGTTCTTCGTGGTTTGGTTTCCTTAACCCATTTTTTTTCAGGTACCTTCTTATTTTTTTGAAGTTTGTTCAAGCAGTCATTCCAACAATTGAGTATGATTACACGAGACACTTCACCATGTAACTCGATGTTTACACAATCAAAATGTTCTCAGAAAGCATTCTGGGTTGATTAAATGCTGCTGCCTTTTTTAATGTTGTCACTCAATCTACCAGACTGCTGTTTACCCAGGTTAGGATTCTCTTTTGCAGATATTCTGTAATGAGATTGGAGAGAATTAAAATCTTTGTTTATGTCCCCAAAGGAAGAGAAATCACCCGCCACAATGGTTTGTTTTATTATTCATTTCATAAACTTTATATTTTGGGCTTGTTTCCTGTTCGGCTTTTGATTAAACAAATTAAATCCTTGTTAACTGCTTTTGGAAAATGCTGTTCCCCATCATACTGTGTATTGAATGTTCTCTTCTGTTAAATCTGTTTATATTTGCAAAATATAAATAAACTGTAGAAAGCCCATATGACGTTCATCTTTTGATTTTCATGCAAATGACAACAGTGCCTCACTTGAAAACATTGGGGCAGATGATGTGCATCAACAACAACAACTTGCATTTATATAACACACTTCATGCGCTGGGGGGCGGGGTGGGGGGGTTGTCCCAGAGCACTTCACAGTAATGAGCCAGGGGGAGAGAGAGTGCTAAGTGACCATAAGCACGATCAAAAACGAAAGTCCTTAGGTGGGATTTGAAGTTGGGGAGAGTGGAAGCAAAGCAGAGGAATTGAGGGAGAGAGTTCCAGAGTTTTGAGACGTAGTGGCTGAAGGCACAGCCACCGATGATGGAATGGAGGGCACGAGAGACATCCAAGCAGGTGGTAGAGTGGGGTGTAAGCAGGTCGGATAGGTACGGAGGTGCAAGGGCATGAAGAGATTCAAAAACGAGTGAAAATCTCGAAATCGATCCGTACAGTGATTGGGAGCCAGTGGAGCCTGGCAAGAACTGGTGTGATGGGGAATCGTCTTTTCAGGAGTAATCTAGAAAATAAGAACTGGTCTTGGTATGTAGGAAGGTGGTTCACTACAGTCAATACAGAACATTGGAATACAGTCCATACAGACTATGGACTGCAAAACATTTACCAGACATGACTTCAGTGTGCAAGTTCTGAAGAGAATATTGATATCCTCTATTAATAGAATATGCCAATTACTTGCTTATGTTTTTCAATTTTTTTTAATACAGGCTTTTTTTTGTTAGCACATGCAGAAACCCATCACCATGCTTAAGGGTATCCAAACCAAGCTGAGATTTCCATGCATCACAACTACCCATGAAAATCCCAGAGATAGATTGTTGGAATGAAATGTGCAGTCAGTCTCTCCCTGGAGGGAGAATTCCTACTTACCTAATAATTGCATTGTTGGATGTTGCATTTAACAAGATGGTGATCAAGAACTTAATTCCTCCTTGTAGCTCACCTTCCTAACTTAGTTAATGTCCAACAAGCTTCGGGGTGAATATATGAACGTCTTGCTTTATTTTGGCTCAGGTAGAATACTGGGCAGTGACTTTATTAATTAGGTTATTACTAAACCCTGAAACAATGCCTTAATTTTCAGGCATTCAACATATATAATTTGCAATACCTGTTGGTGGCGCTGCTGAACTATAGAAATCCCTGTTCTCCATAACCCCACAAACAGGAGCAAAGTGGTACTACAGGATCAACTTTGGCCTCTTGTTTATGATTGTCTTTTTGTGTTTTATTCCACCTGCAGTTCAAATAATAAAAGTCCACATTTACCAGATTTCCAAATACGTGCTTACAGGTTGCAATAAACAAGGAATGAATTGATTATCCAAATCAGGTTATGCCATAAATGCAAGTCCAAATGTGGGATTTCCTATTCCTATTTTTCATAGGGCAAACATAAATCCCCCAAATCCAAGGACATAAGGTATTGTGCCGCTGGCCAAATTTACCCTGTCTTGAGTTCAGCAACAAACTGAGCAAGAACAATTAACATTATAAAACAGGTACATTCATCAGAGAAATATAGCCGTTAATCCTAATGCTTGTCTGGTTAATGTTTGTCTGGTACTGAGCATGAAGAATTGTGGTGAGTTCATTTATTTTGTGTGCATCCCCAGATTTGGTTTGCAAAATATGGTCACCCTAAGCTAGCACAACATAAGCAGCACAGATGTAGAAATTTGTATTGCTTTAGATTTGAAAGAATTTACCTGATTCTCCACTGTATTTGACACAGTCATCACACTCTCCTCCTCTACCATGTTTCCTCCCTCATCCACCTCAGTGGGACTGCACTCACCTGTTTGAGTCCTACTTAACCAACCGACATCACTTCTCCACAGCACTTTTTCCTCCTGCCCCCCCCCCCCCCCCCCCCCCGTACAGTAATCTGAGGTGTTCCTTGTTCCCCTTGTTCTCAATCCTTGTTCCCTTCTTTTTCCTCATTTACATGCTCCCTCTGGGCGATGTCACCCACAGGCACAGGACGGGCTTCCACATGTATGCGGATGACACACAAATCTGCTTCTCATCCAGCTATGACTCCAGGTCCGCTGGTGTCCTGTCAGCTTGTCTGGCAGACATCAGGGCCTGGACGAATACAACCTTCCTGCAGCTGAACGTCAACAAGGTGGAAGCCAAACTCTTTAGCTCCCGGTAACGTCCTCTCCCCTGCGGCTCTGACCTCCTCACCCTTCCGTGAAGTGTGGTGTCCATGGTTCAGTAAAAACCTGACATCCCACCTAAGAATTATTATTATTATTATTATCATTGCTGAGTTGAGTGGCCTGTTCCACTGTTGCTTTACCTGCCAGAGCAGAAGGTATCTACATGTGGAGTCCTGTAGCTCAGTGGTTAGAGCACTTGCTTTGCAAGCGAGAGAACTGAGTCCAATTCCAGGCAGAGGGCGAAACCTCGGGCAAGTTTCCTTACTCCACACGCCTAATAATAATCCCTCCAAAACTAAAAACAATAATTAAATTGGTCATTTTCAATCTACAACTGTTTGTGGGACATTGCTGTGCGCAATTGGCTGCCGCGTTCGCCCACAAATATGCAGTCAATTCACTTTACAGTGTGTTCTGTGAAGCGCTTTGGGACGTCCTCCAGACGTGAAAAGCGCTATATCAAATGCAAAGATTATTATTATTATTATTATGTGACAACACATAATTCAGTGAGGATCGTGCAAGTTGGGACCACTCAAACCATCCAATTTTCTGCACCTGTACTGGAACTCGGTGCATTTTTTTTGGACCCAGGGATCGTGTTCAGGTTGTGGGGGTTGATTTCGGTGATGCTGTTGATGTTAAGATCGGCAGCTCAGCAGAGGAGAGGGTAGTTGTGCAAGTTGCATATTAAAATAAGACTCTTTGTGGCTGGTGCAGTGCGGGCTGCTCCCGGGAAGGGGCTGAGCCCCACTCTTGCAAAAAAAAAAAAACCCGAACGTTTTGCGTTAAAAGTGAGCGTTTGCATTTCGTTCGCACTGTCGGAAGAGGAGGAAGTGGACGGAAACGAGAACCGATCTCTCCTCCCTCCCACCCCCACTGGGTTCACCAAACTCCCCCAACAGTATAACTTCAGCGGCCAAATAAAAAAAAGCAAAGACTGGGCAACTCCAGCAGAGGAGCAGAGAGGAGCAGAGCCAAGCGATGAGCCTCTCCTCCAGTCTCCTGCTGCTGGTCATCTCCGCTGTGACCCAGGGAGGGCTGACTGCAGTCAGGCAGCACTGCATCGCTTCTGTTGAAATTGAATGGGTTTATTCCGGCCACCAAGCAGACAGGTTAAACCAATGCTCACGTTTTCGGATGACTTTATTTCTTGTGCTGACCCCCTCCCGACACTTCGGAGTAGTTGAGGGCTGCTTTCACGGTGGGGAGAAGAAGTGCACTCATTGTAATGCACTTTCTTGCTTTGCACAGCTCTAGTTTTACAATGCAGTGTGTCTCTTTTTTTTAAAAAAAAGAAGAATCAATCTTTGATATCAGGATGTGCCACCAGGTAGCAGATTTCTCAATGATTTCACCTGATACGTTCCCGGAAATTAAATAAGTTTGTGTTATTTAGGTCATCCACTACTGCAAAAACCTACCGAAAGGTCATTTACAAAGAGTATGAAGACTCCAGTTTTACAACCGAAGTAGACAGCCCAGCATGGAAAGGTAATTGTTTTAGCATATGATTGGATGATTGTTCCAGTTGACCGTAAATTTTATTTGCTAACAAAAACAACTTGCATGTACTTATACGGTTCCTTGACGTTGCAGCGTCTCGGGGCGCTAATAGTTCAAATGCAGGTCCAACTGAGTTGAGGCGATGTACAATATATATTACAATGTGTATCTTATCTCTTGGGGGGGATATTTGCAGGGCTCCTGGGGCCCACTCTGCGTGCCGAAATAGGAGATACATTGCAAGTCCACTTCAAGAATAAGGCCAGTTATCCTTTCAACATTCGCCCACAAGGAGTTCCATATGGAAAAACAGCTGAGGGTAAGTTTGAATGCAAGTGATATACAGCGGAGCGGGTGTACAGTCAATCTTGCCAACAGCAGCATGGACTGACTGACTATCTGACCAACAACTATTAAGGAAAAACTAAGAGTGCAATTTACACATTATGTATCACGACACTCAGCTGACACCCCAAAAAGTGTTTCAGGTTGTTGGTCTTTCCCATCATAAAGGGCACTGTGGACAGTAGTTGAAGTTATATGTTGAGTCAAGATTATATCAGAGGCTTTAAGGATGGCTATTGTGAATGTTTGGATCTTTTGAAGCAAGGCAACTAATAGAATGTTGCACATTTTAATCAAACATTGTTACACAATGCACAGTGGGTTGGCCCAGGCATTGGAGATGGGTTGGTGCCCATGAGTGGTACATGTGTAGAATTAGTATGTATTAAATATTTCTGCTGAGAGCTGTGTTGTTTCATGCCTCTAAAGAGCAGCTAAATCAATATCCGGTTAGGAAAGAATGGAATCGTATAAGAATATGTCCACATGAAGAGAATGAAATGTTGTGTGAAATATAGTGACACTTGAACTACCAGACCAGAGAATTGCCAAAGGGTGATCTGTCATACTTAAATAATGTGAGACAGAGGGTTAAAAGTCTGTTTGTCGCTCTATTTACTTTTGAAGGGGCAGAGAGAATATTAGCAGAATCTTTCTTCAGGAGACGTGTTTGCGATGAATGTACTGATACGAGATTGGGGCATCAAGAAGTGACCTAAACACCCACACCAAATCAATACCTTATTTTCAGCAGATACCGAGCTATAATACCCATAGCTTAGCCATAAATGAAGAAAACTCCATTAAAGAAAAAATTATTTGGTTAGCCGACCAAAAAGGTTGGCCACCACTAATCAAGACTGATACTCCAGTGCAGTCCTGGGGGAGAGCTGTATTTTCAGCGGTACTGTCTTTCAAATGAGACATTAAACTGAGGTCCAATCTGTGTATATTCAGGTAGACCTTGAAGATGCCATGATACTACTTGAGAAGAGGAGGGAATTTCTTCCAGCAATCTTCCAGATAAATTGGCCATTCAGCTCAGGCTTCTTGAAGAACCTTAATGGTGCAAGGGGCTGTCATGTTTAACAGTTGTTACTTATGAAGTATGTTAAGACACTTTGTTGTGATAAAAAACTATGAAAAGTCTATTTCTTTCTTTGGCAAGGAATATGTTTGGAAAATATCTAAAAGTACATGAAAATATTTTCCAAATTTTACATTTGTCTATAGTTATGCTGTTAACCAATGGTGAGGGATGGTGTTTAAATTTTCTATTGCATAAGGTTCAGACATCAATTAATTCCCTGCCTCACATTTTAATTTTGGTGTGTTTCAGTATTGGTTAAACATGACTATGGTAAAGTCAGGTACCATCAGGTGGTTGCAAGCTATCTGAGCATGTGAATTCAGCATGTGCATTAACAATTATTTATCTGTAAAGCAAAGAAACACACACAAAGCCCATATAAAGTAACCAGCGTGAAGGGATGTTGAACCATGAACAGCAAACAAACGCAGGCAACATTGTGTAACAAATTGTGTGAGCCCCGTTATCCTGTGCAAACAAAGTCTCAATGCAAATTCTAAAAGTTTCTAGCAAATCGCGTGAGAAAATCTTTCATTCCTGATGAAGTGCTATGAATCCTTTTACAAACTCAAAAGGCAAAAGTAGCAGGAATTCAGTGGTGGGTGAGAGAGAGAAGCCAAGTGTGAGGAGAGGCCAGGCCTCAGAAACTAACAAACAGAGAGGAACAAACAAACAAAATACTAGTTTGGCCTGTTCCCTCTGATTTAAATATTGGTCGCTAACCAGCCCGGGTCCAAGGGGCCAAGGTGGTGATGAGCCCGTACCTCCTGAGGTATGTTATAGGTATGTTCTAGAAGGACAGTGGTGTGCATGGGACATTAATACCCAAAGTGGGGCGCAGCACAAAAACTTTGAAAACCACTGTTCTAGACCTTAAAATATAGTACATAAATAGAATAGAATATTGTCTCCAACAATTACTTAATGATATGCAGTCAAACCTGTTTCGGCAACCACGCAGGACTGGACCAAAGTGGCCTTTATGTAAGGGTGGCCTCTGAGTAAGGGTTCATTTGTTGATTGATTGGACCTGAATTCTTTTAAAAAAGATTCTGTGGCCAATAAATTTGGCCCATGTGTCGAAGCCCATTAAACTCCTAGCTCATTTACCAACGCCATCTCACTGGTGAGGCAGAAAGCTGTGGGTATCATTGGGCTGCTCAGTTGGTAAATGTGCCAGGAGCCTCACCTGTGTCTACACACTGGCCCGCAGAAATTTTTGGCTCACGGAAATTGGTAGTGCATTACCAGTAAGTACACTTAAATTCACTCAATTGGCTGCTAAAAGGGTACACTGATGGGGCTAAAAAAAAGAGTGGCCACTGGTTGCGTTAGTCAGGTGGTTGTTGAATAAAGGTGGTCTTTTGTGGAAAATCGGTCGGGACTGATCCACGGCAGTTTTTGACAGCAGGTGTTTGCTGAACAAGGTGGTTGCTTTAACAGGTTTAGCTGTGGGTATCATTGGCAGGTTATTCATTCAAACTTACACTTTACAAGATATATCAATCACAAGCTCGATTGTGGTGCAGTTTGCCTCTGGCTCACATTTCATGTAACATTGTTTACATCAAAAAAGTAACATTATTACCTGTAATTTCAGCATTGCTTCATAATGTAAGTCTGATGCACATTGACTGATGCTAGAACCTTTGAACTACTGTCCCAAATACTCAGGAATTATCACAAGATTTAAGAAGTTGGTACAATCATGTCTAGACTAGTCCATTAATCTGCTGTTATTAATCCAAATATAAAAATGAAACAATTAATTTAGGATTAAGGCGCATTTTGGCAATAGTGAGGTGCAACTTTTTTTTAATAGTAAACAGGTGATTCAAATATTTTACTCCAAAGGGCACAAAGTTAGATGCCACTCTGTCCTACATTATGCTCCTCTGGCGTGGACAATGATACAGTAAAACTCACATAAGTCGTATCAGTCGGGACCATAACATTTATGACTTATGCAAAGTCCAAGTTGCAGGCAAACTTGTATAAATCATATAAAGTCATATAATCAACACCGCGAATGCGCAGTCGGTAAGTGCACATGTGGTAATTCAGTGCTATAACCGGAAAGTGTGCATGTGGTGACAGGTAGAGACTACGTTTCCTACGATTGAATGTGTCTTGACCTGTCGCCACATTCGCATGAATCGGAATCACATTGAGTCGTGGAAAATTAACTTCTTCTGCGCATGCGTCGACGAATCAGGATGTCGTTTCCCTCAATTCAATGTAAGTGGTAAGTGCAGGAGTAACGGAGGATAAGAGCGGTGTTACAAGTTAGGAGATGATTAGTATAACTAGTGCAAAGAAATCTAAGTGGTTTTGATAGGAAACCGAATGGAACTCGGTACAATTTAGGAGATTATACGATTTATCAAGATAAGATTTATCTAAGTTTTACTGTATTAATTTTGTATTATTGGTATCTAGTTGTTCCTCATACCTCATTCTTTTAACAGAGGTGCAATTCCTTCCATTAACCCCTGATTTATTAGTCTACAGAGTAGTGCACAACTTTGAAACCCCCATTTTGGTGGCTGCTCAATGTAAATAATCTGTTGCTTATTCATTGGCGGCTGACTTAATGTTTAACAAAGTTGCGTACTTTGGGATGAGTGTATATCAAGAAGAGTCAATATTTATGTTAATTATTAATGGTTCAAAAGCTTGGAAAAGCATTCCATTATCATATTGTCTGAATGTAACTTTATGTAACTTTTGTTTCAATTGGGAATCAAAATTATAAAAAGCTGTGCATTTTCTTCATTCAGAAAATTAATGCTGCACAACATACTGCACAATTAATTTTCAGGATGCTGCCAGATCCAGGCAATTTGGGTCTCAAGTTATGACTGGATGTAAGAGTTTTGAAATTCTGCATATACTTCAGAGAATAGTCTTAAAGCTAAGGTCATGAGGGATTTGGAGTACTGTGGGTGTAGAAAGGACAGAGCTAACAGCTGAAAGTCAAATTGTTATGCTTGAAGTAAATGGGAAAATGTTTTATTTGAAACGTCACTGCAATGACACTGGTACATCTTCTCCTTGTTCTGCTTGACTAGCAGTGTGCAGTTCCCAAAGGTTTTCAGTGAAGTTTATGTGGGGCACTCTGTGTAAAAGGCAATGACACTCAATTTTTTTAAAAAAAAGACCTTCTAATTTGGTGGTTCACAAACTCATTCCTATGATGAGGACAGCGTTTCTGATACATTTAGCTCTTAATATCATCAGAGATTGGTAACTGGTGCACTCACTCAACATGAACAGGTAGTGGGCATGGTATTTAAGAGAGGCTATTTTGAAGTTGGTTATAGAGGAAAATGTCATGCTTGACACAACAGAATAAACCAGATGAAATACTTCTACAGTCAAATGGGGGCCTGTGAATGCAACCATTTTTTTGGTCAGCCGGGTGTCTGACACATGTGAAAACCATCTCCATGCTTAAGAGTATCCAAACCAAACTGAGAATTCCATGAATCCCACATACACATGGAAATTCCAGAGATAAATTGTTGGAATGGAATGCGCACTCTCTCCCTGGAGGGACACATCCTGCTTATCTAATTCCAGTAAAGTATTAGGCAAGAGCCAAGGCTTGGGGACTCCAGATTGTGGTTGGGGTACTGCTGAAATCTAACCAGCTAAAACCACCATTGCTTGCATTGAATTCACTGTTTGGCAAGCTTTCCCGTTGCTTGTCCAGCTAAGACCACCCTACTCATTAGGGCTTTGATCTCACTCAACAGTGGTTGAGTGAGATGATTTCCTGCCCTCAGTGACTGTTCTGCCCTTCCAGGTCCTGCCAATGAGCTAGCCCTGTGCGGTGCTGTGTATGCAGCCCTATGGAGTGTTATTGTAGCCTGTACATCTTTAGGTTCAGCACTGAACAGAGTAAAATGGTTATGGTTGGAGTAAATGGGAGAATGTTTCATTTGAAACGTCATTGTAATGACGCTGGTACATTTTCTCTCTCTTCTGGTTGACCAGCAGCGTGCAGTTGCCAAACATCTTCAGTGAAGCATATGCAGGTCAATCTGCTTAAAGGGCAATGCCACTCGATTTTCTTAAAAATACACTTCTAATTTGGTGGTTCGCAAACTCATTCCTATCCCGAAGATAGCTTTTCTAAAAAATTTACTCTTAACATCATCAGTCTTTCTTTGAACAAGCTAGGGCATTCATCTCCTTCCTGGCTGGCTGTTGAATTCATATTGGGTATGAAGACCTTTCTTTCCGACCGCGCCTTTGGTCACCTTCTTCCCCCTCCCCCTGGCTCGGCCCCGGGATCCGTTACTGTGAAGCACTCTGAGATACCGTCCAGTGTGGAGGGCGCTATATAAATCCAAGTTGTTGTTGTTGGGTAACTAACCTAATAATCTTGGTCACAATATACGAGTGGAGGTCCACAATCTACTCAAGCTATAATCTGACTTGTGCTATAATGATAATGCACTTAGCATGTGTGCATTGACTGATGATTTGCAAATGAAGGCCAATGCTGATAAATGCAAGGTATCGCATTATAGGAAGTAAGAATAGGAAACGCATGTATTGCATGGGAGGAATAGAACTTGCCAAAGCGAAAGATGAAAGAGATATGGGGGATCATGTCATGAGGGGGCTGGCACAATGGGCTGTATTAGATCTCCAATCAGGTCATAGATTGCTTATGTTCTAAAAACAGGATTAGGATCAGGGCTAGGCCAAACAATGGAGCAAAACCATTGCTTGGAACCACCTACATTTTTTTTCTCTTTTCTCATTTTTAAAAAATTAAACATGAAGCAATAACACATCATAGATTATTGGGGGGGGAGTTATTAATGTCTTCTTTAACAAAAACAGAACATAACACCTTTCAAAAAGTGCAAAAGTGTAGTTTTAACACAGTTTGCAGAGAAATTAAAATGTTCAAAATCAAATTTTCACAGAAACACAAAAAATTTGCAGCCAAATGTTTAGTGTTAGCTACATTTTAACATGAGAAAAATCTTTATATTTTCTTGTTAGGCTTTGTCCATTATCTTTGAGGCGGTCTGAATAAATACCAAATAACCTTTCAATGTCAGCTGTGCTCACTGGTAGCCAAATGTATCTTCTTGCAATTTTAGCAAGTTTCGCAAGTGGCTCAGGCTGTGCTGCCTAGCGAGCTGCTATTTTGTGGTTTGCTGGGATATTTTCTCCAGCTGCTTTGTAAGCATGCCTTTCGAAGATTGAAATAGTTGAAAGGCCAGGAGTCACATTACTATATAAGTCTTTTTCTGCATCCATTGTTGCTAGCTGGTGAAGATCCAAAATACGAACTGGTTTATAGGTACAAATTGACGGATGCTTTTTCAAAAGCAGTCCGAACTTTTGTCTGCTGTCTTGCATGATTCTCTGGATAAAGGTTGACACATGCCTCTTTCTCACTCTCAGAACAGGCTGCCAGCTTTTTCACTGTCTTTGGTCTGTACTCCTGTTCTCCAAATGTAACTCAGAAATCAATAAACAAATGTAAATTTTACACCTATAAGTACAGATTGTGGGCCTGAGGCACAGCTGTAGACTGACATTCTTCAATGAGTTTTATGAGCCCAGATCTATTTGTTTTTGTTTGCTGTAGTTGTTTTATGTGCTTTTAAAATTCAATCAAAAAGGAGGGAGATTAGCTTTTGGAATCATACAAATTAAGATTTTCAAAATTAAAGTAAAAGCAAATAATGATACATTTGCATTTAATATATATATACTATATATCAAAAGTATTTTGTCTTCATTTTTATTCTTTATTGTCGCTGCCTTGTGTTCACAATGTTTCCAAGATTTCATGTGCTCATCGATGTGGTACTTGTGAACATGGTCAATTGTGTGACAGAAACGCAGCAAAGCAACTGCCCCCCCTTTTCATAAAAGTCATCCGGAGAGAGCACAATTCTATTTGAAGGACAGACGGAAAATGAGATGTGCTGCCCTTTGGTTTCCTCACGGGATTTACAAAAATGTTTGGACATTACATTTAAAAAAGATAAACTCAGAACAATGCTTTTGGATATGTTAAGACAGTGGAGGACATAGGTTTAGAGTTGCAAAGGGCAATTTCAGGACAGACACCAGGAAGCATTTCTTTACCCAGAGGGCTTTTCAGAATGGCAAATGTGACCATATGTTAGCAATGTATAATGAATGAAACACCAACATTGCCTTTTGTGTACTTAGGATTCTTCCGTGAGAATAGCTTGCATTTTGTAGACAAGAAGGATCCTATTCTACCACTTGAGGAATACACCTATAAATGGGAGATCACAAAAGATGTGGCACCAACTGAGTCTGACTCTCAGTGCCTCACGTATATCTACAGTTCTGACGTCGACAACTTGAAAGACTTCCATTCCGGGTTGATCGGAGCTCTACTTATCTGTAAACCTGGTAACTTCCGATCATTTAATTTACTTTTACTAATAAACATTTAACTTTTACTGTTAAACATGCTGGATTCTTTAGCAATCAGGTGTCAGCCTGACCCAGATGGCAGGACTCTCACCGTTTGAAGTTTGTGGGATTAAACCCCAAATCAGGCTCTTTATGAGCTCAAAGTCTAGATTGACATTCCAATGCAAGGAGTACTGGGAGTTCACTGCATTCTTGGGGGTACTGTCATTCGAATGCAATATTAAATCCAGGCCCCAATTGCCTCTTTCGGTGGACATTAAAGGTTCAAAAGAGAAGGCAGTTTTTCTCGGTGTTCTGGCCAACAATCCTTCAGATGAAATTAGTCATTAATTTTATGGTTGTTTGTGGGAAATTGCTGTGTGCAAACTGGCTGTCGTGTTCACCAACAATAAACGGTCACTGCACTTTACTGTGAAGCGCTTTGAGACTTTTCTACAATGTAAGCTGTTATAATCAAACGCAAGTATAAATATTTTAGCTACAGGCCCTTGTATATTGCACTAATATGTATTGCTTGGAGAAACTAAATGCTTGAAACTGTACATTGGATTTAAACAATGCCAGTAACATTTTTAACATTTCTTCACTCTGTATAGGAAGTTTGGATGAAGCAGGGAAACAAATACATTTTAAAGAAGAGTTTGTTTTGTTGTTTTCTGTATTTGATGAAAGTGAAAGCTGGTATTATGAAAACAAAAGAAAGTCCGAGATCAAAATGTATTCCATTAATGGCTTTACAAATGGTACATTACCAGGTATGTAATGGTATGGAATGGAATTATCACTTGTCTTTCAATTGAGTTAACATTTCTGTCACGAGCGACATTGCCAGCAAAGAGAAAGATGATGAACAACAATAATCACCAGACTATTGTTCAATTTAGTCAAACCCACCTCTCTGAGAAACTCTTAAGCAGTCAATGTAATTGGATGACAAATATCAGTTTATCCTATTGTCTGTGTTCTTTTGAAAATGCCATGAATCAGGGTCAAAAAGGGACAATGGCTTTATCATCATTGTGACTGTTGCCAATTCTACACTGATCAGTCTCTGTGATACCTTTAAAGATACTATAACAGTTTTCCAAAGTACAACTCACCCTTTGTAATATGTTTTCAATTCAACTTCCATTCTGCTATAGACATTTCTGAAAAGCATTCATTTTACAAGTATACCGTGTAGCAGTAACTTCAGTTCACACCTAATAGCAATGCTGTTTTGTGCTATTAATTATTAAATATCCTCAACTTTGGATTCACATTTTCTGGGTGCTCCCTATAATTCACTCAATGCTCCAACTTCATAAGATCTTATGCTCCCAGAGTCCCAACCCTACCAAGGTCAAGCTGTTTCTTACAGGAATCTGGCATCCTACCCTCAACTGTTCTTCTTGGTAACCCATTCCAGCTGTTTATTCGCAGAAACATTTTCTGTTGTCTGTTATGAAATTCATTAGTTATTGTTGCTCAAAGTGACTGTCTATTGTGTTTGTGGCCTGTTTTCTATGCATCTGGGATCATCCTTGCATTGATCACTAAAAATACATATTTTCTTGTTACCATTTTACAATGCAAAATCCAGCCATCAAACCATAAGGAAAAGATCAGTAAGTTTAGTGATCAGTTTGAGGTCTCAGTATGTTCTCAGTTTCTTGGAAGGAGGAGAACCAATGCTATTGCTTTAGGCTTTAAAGATATTGACCAGCAAGTGTTATGTTTTAATGCATTATTTCTCCGTTATGCAATTCATCTATATTATTGTTGCAGAGTTCAACGTCTGTGCTCAAACTGAAATTAGCTGGCATTTTATTGGAATGAGCTCAAGTGAAGAAATCTTCTCCGTTCATTTCAATGGCCAGGTCCTGCTGCATGATAATCACATGGTCTCAACCATCGGTCTATCTCCAGTCTCGTCGGTCACAGCGCTGATGTGTCCAAAGGAAAATGGAAAATGGCTGCTGTCATCTCAAGTGCAACAACATCGCCAGGGTAACAACAGTGTCACAGTTAACATTTTGAATCATATCTATTTTTTAAATGTTAGCAAGAAAGGAGAGGAAATTTCATGTTCATTATGGTGAGGATTCTCACTGTCATGGACTGAAATGTTTTTTGAGCTCATTGAGCACTCAAAGTCAGAAAAATCACAGCTAAGGTGCAGTTTAGAATCCCTTGTTCGGTGAAGAAGTGCAAGTCTCAGATCCAATCCTCCTGTCCAGTCTGTCCCTTAAAACCCCATGGAATTGGCCTCTAAGTCTCTGGTAGCATCTATAGTGGTACTAACCTTAACTGCAAAACATGCATTTGTAATGTCGTAGACATTTGAGCACCTCACTCTGTACCATCACTCCTCGCTCTCCCTCAAAATTCTCCTAATCTACCGCCTCCCCAAACCCCCTGGTTCCTTTCTCGAGGATACCTCCTGCCTCCTCTCATTCCTGGACCTCTGCACTGAACACCTGTTTATCTTGAGTGACATTCACCTCAACTCCTCCTGCCCCATTTCCTTAGACTTCACTGCACTCCTCTCCACCCTAAACCTCATCCTCCATATTAATTCCCCAACCCACAACCGTGGCCACCCTCTTGCCCTCGTTATTAGCCATGGCCTAGACATCTCTGGTCTGTCCATCACGGACAAGGCCATCTCTGACCACTTCATTATCTCCCTCTTCTCCTGTATCCCCCTCCCCTCCTCCAAGCCCTCCACTGTCTTTTTCCGTCCATGGAAAAAGCTTCCACCCGAGTCCCTCACAAATGCCCTCTTATCCTCGGACCTTCTCTCCCTCTGGCTTCCACCCGCAGCGATCCTGATGCAGCCGTCAAGCTGCTAAATGATCGCCCCTCCTCCTCCTTTAATTCCCTTGTCCCTTTGAAATCCAAAACCATCTCCAAACCTGCATTCTACTCGCAGGTCATTCTGGAAGCCAAAAGCAACTCCAAAATCCTGTTCTCTACCACCCACCACCTCTCCGCATGCCCCATCCAGCACCCTCAATCCTAATATCTAATGCCAAGTGTGAAGAGGTCTTAGCTTCTTTATCTCCAAGATAGATAACATCCACCTGGCCACCTCCTTCTCCTGTCCCATGTTTCCCACCACCATCCCCCATTCCTTCTCCTTCACCTACTCCTCCTCCCACGGCTCCTACCATGAGCCCCAACCCACACTCCTTTGCACCCATTTCTCATTCCTCTCTCTTATCCTCCATCACCCGGATGAAACCCACCACCTGCTGCCTCGATTTCCTCCCGACCCAACTTCTGGTCGCTCAACTCCCCCTCCTCTGCCCAATGCTGGCAGACACCATAAATCAGTCCCTCTCCTCAGGCTCAGTCCCACTCATATTCAAAACAGCTGTCATCACTACTCTCCTTAAAAACCCTTCCCTCGTTCCCTTCAACCTCACGCAGTACCATCCTATTTCAAACCTGCCCTTCCTGGCCAAAACCCTGGAATGTATTGTTGCAAACCAGTTTGCTCACACCTCCCCCGCCAATCCCTACTCAAACCCTTCCAGTCTGGTTTCTGCCCAGTGCGTAGCACAGAGACAGAGCTCAACAAAATAACAAGCAATGTCCTCTCTCTGTGATCAGGGCTCCCTCTGCCTCCTCGTCCTCCTGGACCTCTCCACTGTGTTCGACACAGTCGACCACGTCATCCTCTTCCACCACCTCTCCTCCCTCATCCACCTTAGTGGAAACTGGACTCGCATGTTTTGAGTCCTACTTAACCAACCGCCAGCACTTCATCTCGGCCAATGGTTTTTCCTCTCTCCCCTGCCTGGTCATCTGTGGGGTATCCCAAGGCTCCATCCTTGGCCCCCTTCTTTTCCTCATCTGCATGCTTCCTCTCTGCAATGTCATCCACAGACATGGAGTCAACTTTCACATGTATGCGGCTGTCACCCAATTCTACTTCTCCTCCAGCTGCGACTCCCAGTCCGCTGATGTTCTGTTAGCTTGTTAGATGGATAATAAGGCCTGGATGACTGCAAATTTCCTGCAGCTGAATGTCAGCAAGATGTCAAACCATAATCTTTTGCTCCCATCAGCACCTTCCCTCCTGCAGGTCTTAACTCTTCAACTTCCCTGGACTCTCCCTCAGACTCTCCGAACCCATGCTCAACTTAGGTGTCAGGTTCGATCCCCAGCTTTCCTTTCTACTACACATCTGTTCCCTGACCAGAGCCACTTTTTTCCACCTCCATTACGTTGTCTGCCTCTATCCGTACCTCACAACTGAACCAGTTGAAACCCTCGTCCTTGCCTTTGTAACTTCCCAGCTGGACTATTCCAGTGCCCTCCTCGCTGGTCTCCACAGCTCCACCATACACTAAATCCAATTAATGCAAACTCCGCCACCCGGATACTCACCCGCACAAAACTCTGTACCCCCATCACACCAGTCAATGCCAGGCTCACTGGCTCCCAATCACCGAATGGATCGACTTCAAGATCCTCTCACTTGTTTTCAAATCACTTGATGCTCTCTCACCTCCCTCCCTATCTGACCTTCTTACCCCCCACTCCACCACCTTCTGCCTCCGCTTGGCTGGCTCCGGCCTCCTAATTGTCCTTCGTGCCCTCCGTTCCACTATTGGTGACCGTGCCTTCAGCCACTACCCCTGAAACTCTGGAACTCTCTCCCTCAATTCCTCCACCTTGCCCCCTCTCTCCCCACCTTCAAATCTTGTGTAAAGATCTTTTTGATCATATTTACTGTCACTTCCCCCTTCCCTCTCCCCATCACTGGCTCACTGTCAGATTCTGTCATTGGGAAGCGCTCCGGGATGCTACCCCACGTGAAGAGGCCTATATAAATGCAAGTTGTTGTTGTAGACCCTTATCCATTTGAACTGGGATAAATTTTCTTCAAGTAACATTGCTCATCATTGCAATGTTGCTCCCTTCAGGGCTCACAGACACCTGTGTTCCATCAAGTTCTTGACCTTTTCACGTCAGGTATCCATCATTTTAAGTGGGCGTTTTGTCAAATAAATTGTATTTCAGCGTCAGCCTAGCTTGGGTGTTCAAGCATTTGCCTCTGGGACAGAAGGTTATAGGTTCAAGTACCCATGGTCCAGGCTAGATGCCTGGATGCCTTCTAGATGTCTGTAAAGCGCTTCACAGAATATACTGCAAAGTGAATTGACTGTATGTTTTATGGGCGAAACGTGGCAGCCAATTGCACACAGCAGTGTCCCACAAACAGTCGTGGATTGCGTGACCAAGTTACTATTATTATTTATTTTTTATGTTGGCAAACAGGATTTGAGTCCTCTTTTCAAATGGGGTCATAGGATAAATTAACGTGTACAGACAGGTTGGATGTTGGCTTAAAGTCAAATCCTAAAGATAGCATCTCTGACAATGTATTGCCCCTTTGACAATGCATTGCCTCAGTTGTCTGGACAATGAGCTCAGATCCCCACATAGGGCTTGAACCCACAACATTCTGACCAAGGGATAAGAGTGTTACGAGGCAGGCATTTGCATAAATATCTGATGTCAGTCTTTCCTCTCCTGTTGCACAGGTTTCAGCCCTTTGGACGTCCTCCTGACATGAATAGTGCTAAATAAATATAAATTTGTATTGTATTGAATTAGCTTTCTAACCATGTTAATGTAAAGCAACAGCCATTGTGCATATAATGTTATTTCCTTTTAATTACAAAACAGCTGCAATGTATGGATTCCTTAATGTGCAACAATGTACATCTCCACGATCACGCTCACAATGTATTTCAAGATATGTTCCAAGCAGGAAGCCAGGCAAAATTCGCAAATATTTCATTGCAGCTGAAGAGATTCATTGGTCATATGCTACGGAGATACCAGACTTCATCAGCAGGTAATTTTATCTCTGAGTGAATCCAATGTTAAGCTAAAGTAAATGTTTCAGAACTTATTGATGCATGGATACATTTTGAAGTGGATCTTTTTATCTCCTCTTTAACTCTTCCAATAACAATCCTGAGTATGCTCTGTAGTGACTGATTTATCAATCAAAGTTACTATTTGTCCCCGTAAAACATTTCAGGAATGTGATTATCTCTATTAGAGCCTGTCATCCTTAGCATCATCAATGTGAAGTTACATTTCCATGGATCTGATGTCCTTTCTATAATGGATTACATAGTACTCCAACTGCACAGTTAGAGTACTGTGGGACTCATACATTTAGCATAACATTCTAACCACATTATAAGTGGATAGAAGTAGGCTGATGTGGGCACAACTGAAGCCAGGTACTCACTTAGAGAGGCAATGCTATTGGTTAGTTAAGTTACTGACCAGGCAGCCTGTGTTTATTATGAGGAAATTCCATTATAAACGTGCACGATCATGGTTAGAAATTTACTAGCCAGAAGAAATATGTGTCTTAGCTTTGCATTTTTAATTTGTTTTATATATAGTACATAAGTTTGCGGGCAAATGACTGAGTGACTCATTCAAACGTTCATCTATTATCAATCAGTGGTTGCAGCTGCCAAGAAGCCACTGTTGTGTGCACAGTTTAGGACATTTATCGGCACTGTTGTTTAAGTTTCTTCTGGTTGTGCTCTTTTTTTCTGCATGTTTTCCATCTTTCTCGTTGGATCCCTCAGTGATTTTAAATCCAAATACTTGGTTCAAGGCCCGAATCGCATTGGTAAAGTGTACAAAAAGGCCATTTATGTGGAATACACAGATGAAACATTCACCGAGCGAAAAGTTAGGAGCGAAACAGAAAACGTAGTCCCCATTCTGCAAGATGGCATTGGGAGCCCTGTTATAAGTGCTGAAATCAAAGATAATGTTAAGGTACCCAATCAGCTAAATTAAACTAATTACAGTAGAGAACTATTTTTTGCGGATTTCAGATTATCATGCAAAATAATAATAATAATCAATAATAATAATCCTTGCATTTGATATAGCGCTTTTCACGTCTTCTAGACATCTCAAAGCGCTACACAGAATAGACTGTAAAGTGAATTAACTGTATATTTGTGGGCGAAACGCGGCAGCCAATTGCGCACAGCAGTGTCCCACAAACAGTTGTGGATTGAAAATGACCAATTTATTTTTGTTTTGGAGGGATTATTATTAGGCGTGTGGAGGGAGGAAACTTGCCCAAGGTTTCACCCTGCCTGGAATTGAACCCAGATGTCTTGCTTGCAAGGCGAGTGCTCTAACCACTGAGTTACAGAACTCCACAATCTACAAATACAATGTACTGACCTCCTCGCGCTCTCACCCAGTCACCTGAGGGCCCCCTCCTCTTTCTGATCTATATGCTCTCTCGTGGGGATGTCATCCGCAGACATGGGGTACATTTCCACATGTATGCAGATGACACCCAACTCTATTTTTCCACCTCACTTTGCGACCCCCAGTCCCCTGATGTTCTGTCAGCCTGCCTGTCAGATCTCAGGGGCTGGATGAGCGCAAACTTCCTTCAGCTGAATGTTGACAAGACGGAAGCCATACTCTTTGGCTCTCGTCAACGTCTAAAATCTCACGGCTCTCACCTCCTCCACCTACCCGACCTCCTGCTAAAACTCTCCGAACCCGTACGCAACCTAGGCATCAGGTTCGACCCCCAATTATCCTTCCTCCCCCACATCCGGTCGCTCACCAGCACTGCCTTCTACCACCACCGACCCATCGCCTGTCTCCGCCAATACCTCACCCCAAAAGCCACTGAAACCCTGGTCCATGCCTTTGTCAACTCTCGGCTGGTCTACTCCAACGCCCTCCTCGCCGGTCTCCCATCCACTACCATCCATAATATCCAGATCATTCAAAACTCTGCCGCCCGCATTCTCACCCGCACAAAACTCAGCTCCCCAGTCACCCCAGTTCTTGCCAGACTGCACTGACTACCTATCTCAGAGAGGATCGATTTCAAGATCCTCACCCTTGTATTCAAGTCCCTGCACTTCTCTGCACCCCCCTACCTCTCTGATCTCCTCTCTCCTCAAAACAGTACCCTGTGCCTTCATTCCTTCGGGTCTGGCCTCCTCCTTGTCCCCCGAGTCCTCCCCTCCACCCTCGGTTGCCGTGTCTTCAGCCACTATTTCCCGGGGCTCTGGAACTTCCTCACTCCCTTCGCCTCGCTCCATCCCTTCCCATTTTCAGGTCTCTGCTGAAGATCTTTCTTTTCGACCGTGCCTTCGGTCACCCTCCCCCCACCTCCCCCTGGCTCGGCCCCGGGATCCGTTACTGTAAAGCGCTCTGAGACGCCATCCGACATGGAGGGAGCTATATAAATCCAAGTTGTTGTTGTTGTTTTATTCAACCAAAAACATTCTAAAATGTTACACACAAAAAATGCGTTGAACAACAAATACCTGCGTTGTTTGTACCTCCATGTAATGCTTGCATTTTGTTTCATTGTAAACCCAGTTTTTTTCCTTTGAGAATGTTTTTGCCTTGAACTCTGCAGCTATCGTGGAGTCCTGTAGCTCAGTGGTTAGAGCACTCACTTTGCAAGCGAGAGACCTGAGTTCAATTCCAGGCAGAGGGCGAAACCTTGGGCAAGTTTCCTTACTCCACACAGAGCCTAATAATAATCCCTCTAAAAAAAAATAATAAATTGGTCATTTTCAATCTACGACTGTTTGTGGGACATTGCTGTGCGCAATTGGCTGCCGCATTCGCCCACAAATATACAGTCAATTCACTTTACAGTGTGTTCTGTGAAGCGCTTTGGGACGTCCTCCCAACGTGAAAAGCGCTGTATCAAATGCAAGGATTATTATTATTATATTAGTACAGTATTACAATGCAGATTTGCTATAATAAACATCACAGGAATTTGACCTCACTGTATCTGTATCATAACTTACTATTTTTGACTATTAAGAAATGAGACACCTCCACCCCTGCAAATATTCCTATTTTTTCCTGTTTGTGTTTACAGATATATTTTAAGAATCTGGCCAGCCGTCCCTTTAGCATCTACCCACATGGTGTGACAGTCAGCAAGAAGAATGAAGGCGTTATATATCCTGGAAATTTCACTGGTAAAAAAAAATTACTTTATTCAAGGAAAGAAATTGCATTTGATGACATCAAAATGTATTAAAGAGCTTCTAAGCATACAAAAACATAAAAAATGAGAGTAACTTGATGAAGCTGTATAAAAACAAAACTGATGCAATGCAAGGTTTTATAAAACAACGACAAAGAATACAAACTCAAAGAAATAATGCTATATCTGTAGAAATCATTGGCTAGGCCAACATTTGTGGTAATCTTTAATTCTTGTTTAAATTTAGCGAGAACATTATTCTGCAATGAGCGATGTTTAGAATGAACCCTCATGGCTAGCGTTACATTAAACCAGTTGTAATACACTCAATGATAGGGTTTACTCCCACTCTTTTTCCTTCTCTTTCTCCCCCCTCCCCCAATGTTCTGATTTATAAACTGATCTTGGATTTCTATCCTTGAGATCACTGGCAAAATATTTTTGTTTATTTGACCATTATAACAGGTAGGTATTTGTTTTACTTTAAGACTTATTTTGTGGGCACTCACCAATTTAATGCTCTGCCGCCCTCATCTTTAGCTGAGTGGCAAAATAACTTGTCATTATCAGTCAGGGCTGGATTTGAACCCAAATTTCAAACTTGAAAAATACAACAATTGTAAAATTCAACCAGCTGTTAGAATATAATATTACTATGCATTTGATATAGCACCTTATCACATCTTTGAGATGTCTCAAGGTGTTTCACAGCATATACTGTAAAGTGAATTGACTCTATATTTTGTGTGGAAACGCCAATTGCACACAGGAGTGTCCCACAAACAGTCGCGGATTGAGTGACCAATTTATTATTATTACTTCTTTTGGAAGGAATTATTGCCCCCGAAAAAACGATCTGCCATCGACTAACAACCGGGTTCCTACTTACTGCTAGGTAAACAAGGGCATGTAGAGTAAGGAAACTTGCCTTACGTTTCGTTCTGCCGGGATCTAACCCAAGTCTCTTGCTTGCGAGGTGAGTGCTCCAACCACTAAGCTACAGGACTCCACAGTAGCTCTAATCACTGAGGTAAAAAATATCAAACATATGAAACAAGAAAAGGCTATGCAATGCATTAAGGCAGCTCTTCGCATTGTTGGATACTCTTTAAGAGTAAATTGACAACTAACAAAAGGGTCAATAAGAAGAAGGGCAAAGAGTACAGAAGGACACTGCAAGTGGGACAGAGGGTGTGGTTGAGAGTGGTGGATTTATGAGAGTTTTTGAATTGACGAATAAAGAAGTTTAGTAACACACCCTTGATTTGGATTGAGTTCTATTACAGTACAGTATTACAATCCTTACCCTTACATAGACTTTATCCCAACACTGTTTCTTGGAAGAATGTATCACACACGTGCTCCTGGTATTTTCCAATTTAATTCTCTTCTTCCCTCATACTGTTCCCATTATGAGTAAGAAGTGTGAGTAATTATGACTAATAGAACTTGTACACTGGCAGATGAAATAAAGATGCATAGCTTGTATAGCAAAAGAAGCCCTGGAATAAGAGAATGATGTAACCCTGTGCTCATTTCAAAATCAGATCCAATAATTAATTTATATATCATTTTGATGGACTCCTCTGGACAGGAACTTTTCGTGGCACATAGAAGTGCTGTTCTAAGTGCTGAATAACCAGATCATTTTCTTCATAAACCCTGCAGATTTTAGTAAACAAGTTAACCCTAATCAAACCTTCATGTACCAGTGGATTATATCTGAGGATGTTGGACCAACTGCTGAAGATCCCAGGTGTCTGACGAAACTGTACCACAGTGCGGTGGATATCACACGAGACATTGCTTCTGGTCTCTTTGGACCACTTCTAATCTGTAAACGCCAGTCACTTAATGCCAGAAATTTCCAGGTAAAATATATAATATATATTTATATGTATATGTACACTTCCTGCCCACATTCGATACCCCACCTTTGAATTGTTCATTAGATCCCGAGAGCATCTTCGATAAGGTTGAGATGAAATAGTTGTTTCATTTTCTGGGAAAATTTGGCTTGGGATCTGGCTTTATGCAGTGGATGAAACCAATATATGCAGCTCCCATTCAAGCATTGATTTTGAATGGCACTCCCTTTGGGTTGAGTAAAGCCACAATACAGCTCTGTCCAATCTCTCCGTTAATTATAATGGTGTCAGAATCTCAGGCTATTTCCATTGAGACCTCTTTCCTCTTCTCCAAACCAGGAGAAAGTTTCACAGTTTAGGCACTTCTAAAAGTGCAAAACGATATAAGATCTGCATATATGCTCATGATGTTTCATTGGTAATAATATAATAATAATAATCCTTGCATTTGATATAGTGCCTTATCACACTTTTCAAGACGTCTCAAAGCGCTTCACAGGATATACTGTAAAGTATATGTTGTGGGCAAAACTCAACAACTAGTTTGCCCACAGCAGTGTTCCACAAACAGCCATGGAGTGGGTGACCTTTTTTTTATTTTGGGGATTTCCCTTCTCTTTTTGATTAGTGCCACAAAATCTTTAATGTCATTAATCTTTAATTTAGGCAGTGGATTAGCATTTCATTCGAAGAACGGCATCTCTGACAATGCTGCACTGGAGTGTCTTAAGTTGACGCTAAGTAGACTATGTGTTTCGAAGTCCTGATCTGGGGCTCGAACCCACAACAATCTGACTCAAGAGTGCTTCCACTAAGCCAGGCTGACACACACTGCAGTTTCAAGACCTTATTTTTAAGATGAATGTTCCAGCAATTTTGTCTGGTAGTTGGATGTAAAATGAAGAAGACATTGAGGGATAAAATATTCCGTGGACCCACTCGGATTTCTTAATTAACAATTGACGCAAAAACTTGATATTAATTTTCTGCTCCCATTTACATATCCCATTGAGGTTATACTTTGTTCAAAATGTTTTGTGTATCAAAGGGATATGGGATGTCCTTGGGATGTCCTCCTGATGTGAAAGGCGCTATTCTAATGTAATTTGTTGTTGTTGATATCACTGCGGTGGCTTGGCTTTTACTTTGGTGTTGCAATCTTGCAGGGTTACAGCAGCGCTATGTTCCAGCAAGCAATATGCCGGTCTAGCAATTCACTTGCAGTAGTTCCCAGATCTTCTGATGTTCAATTCTGTCTTTTTCAGATAAGAACAGATGAAGAGCAACATCTAATATTTGCAGCATTTGATGAAAACAAAAGCTGGTATATTGATGACAACATTCAGCAGTTTTGCCAGGATCCTTCCACTGTTGATCCAAATGACCCAGAGTTTTATGAATCAAACATCATGTACAGTGAGTATTGCTCCATTGTAGACCTTTTGACTAAAATGCAACACAAGTGCAATAATAAGTCAGAGGCACCACGCCAGAAAAGGCCTGTTTGATATTAGTGTTTACAGGAAAAAGAAAGAAATGACAGCCCCTGTAAGTAGGGTGTGTGTGGAGGGGGAGGGGGTGTTTGTAGCATGGGGAGGGGGTAAAATGGAAGGGGGTTGTTTGTAGCGGATTCCTCCAAAAAATTGCGGCCACACTTTTCTATTGGCCAGGCTATAAGTGTCTAAAAGTGTTTTACAGTGATTTCTGTTGCAAGTAGTGACCTTTTTGTTTATCAAAATGTGGCATCTATTTTGCACACCGCCATAAGTGAGTGACCTATTAATCTGAAGGACTGAGGTATAAAATACAATAATCACGAGCTGGATTTGTTGCATTATTTATAATAATAATCTTTGCAATTCATATAGCGCCTTATCATGTCTCCGAAACGTCTCAAAATGATTTACACAACGTACTGTAAAGTGATTTGACTATATTTTGTGGGCGAAACGCAGCAGCCAATTACGCATAGCAGTGTCCCACAAATTGTCATGGATTGATTGACCAAATTATTATTTTTTTNAATCTTTTGAAGGGATTATTGCCCCCGGAAAAGTGATCCACCAATTGATTAACAACCAGGTTCCTAATTACTGCTAGGTAAATAGAGGGATGTGGAGTAAGAAAACTTGTCTTACCTTTCGTCCTGCCAAGGAATCAAACCCAGGTCCTCTCACTTGCGAGGCGAGTGCTCCAACCACTAAGCTACAGAACTCCACTTTATGCCTTCTGGACTGGGACAGCCTTTTTGTCCAACTTTGTCACCTTAGAATTTGTGATTCACTGTTTGTGAATTTACATTCAGTATTCCCAAGGAACTAATTCAAAATGAAATCAACAAATCAGGTTTGTGAGTATAGATTTTAGACAAGTTTAATTGTATTAATGCAATAATAATCCTTGTATTTGATGAAGCACCTTAGTGACAGTGCATTTTCGACTTCAAGATTCTCACTCTCGGGTTCAAATCCCTTCACTCTCTGACACCTCCCTACCTCTCTGGCCTCCTCACTCCCCAATCCACCATCCGGCGCCTCCGTTTGACTAGCATCAGCCTCCTGCTCGTCCCTTGCACCCTCCACCCCGCCATCGGAGGTTGCGCTTTCAGCCACTAAGCCACAAACTCTGGAACAATCTCCCTCAATCTCTCTGCCTTGCCCCCTCTTTCAAGTCCCACCTGAAAACTTTCCTCTTCAACCGTGCTTACAGCCACCACCTCCCCACTACCCCCGGCTCGGAGTCAGGCTCCGCCACTGTTAAGTGCTCTGAGATACTACCCTGCGTGGAGGGCGCTATATAAGTGCAAGTTGTTGTTATTTGTAGGCAAACTCGTGTTTAAAATGCGTCTCACTGTTTTTAATCTTGTCAGCAATAAATGGCTTTGTGTATGAAAGTGAGGAAGTTTTCCCGCTATGTGAAGGGACTGTTACTTACTGGCACGTCTCAAGCGTTGGTGCACAGGACAGGATTCAGTCCGTTCATTTCCACGGCCACAGTTTCAAGTACAGGAAAACAATTCAGGATGTTCTGCATCTCTATCCTCAAACTGGTGAAACGTTATACATGCAGATGGATAATTTAGGTGAGTATCTTTGAAGCTGTGCTGATTTTTACAGTTGGATGACTATTTTGTTACAATTTACACTTGTGTAGTACCTTTCTCATTGAGAGGGCATCCCAAAGCACTTGGCCATTTTGGCTGTGCACCAATGCTGCAGGTGAGAGCTTAGGGATGGGCAAGATGACCTTGAAAGTGCTGACGAAGAGCTATGTTTTGAGACGTACCTTGAAAGAGGGCAGGGATGGAGGGAGCAAATCAGACAGTACCAGGAATGGAGTTCCAGAGAGGGGAATCCTAGTAGCTGATAGGGCGGATATAGTGGGGGACATGCAGTAGGCCAGTGTCAGCTAAGCAAAGAGAACAGAGAGATTGGTATGGGTGCAGGAGATTGCAGAGGCAGAATGGGGGAGACCATGGAGGGTTTTAAATGTGAGAATGAGCATCTTAAACTCGATTCCCTGAGGCCTGGGAGCCAGTGGAGATGAAAAAGGATGGGGTTGATGAGGCTTGTGTAATCTAGTATGGGAGAGGACATGGATTGCAGATCTGGTTAGTCTGCCTTCAGACTCTCTGTCTCCATTCTTTTGGAACTCCATCCTACAGTCCCTTCATCTCACTCTGTCCCTTGCCTCCTTCAAGGCTGGTCTGAAGACCCTCCTCTTCAACCATGCCTTCGGTCACCCTCCTACCCCTACCCTCCCTGATCTCCACGCCTCTTGGTCCCATCTCCTAGCTCGGGTCCAATTCTTTGACTCTCCAGCACTTGGGACATCCTGACATGAAAAGCCCTATACAAATGTAATTTCCTCTTGTTGTTGTTGCTGCCTGTGTAGAGAATACAAAAAGGTTATTAGTTCATGTTGATCGGGTTATGATAGACTCCATGGTTTGTAATGGTGTGGAGGCTGCAATAACATGTTTTCAGTGAACAGCATTGATCTGCGATGCTTTTGCTGTGTATCTGCTTTTGCATTCTGTTGCTTTTACTGTGATACTATGGCCATTACTTTGTTGCTGTAGCAGAGTTCATTGTTTATTACTTTCTTGTTCTTTACTGTGATAAAAACTGTTTTATTACTTTTGTCGCTGTTACTTCATTATTGTTTCTTTGATATGAGGCTTTCCTTTGCATGTTAACTTATCTTATTGCTCTTATTGTGTTATATTGCTTTGTTTTTTTCATTCATGGTTGGAAAACTTTACCTTGTGTTGTAGGTGAATGGCTTCTGCGAACCACAAGTTCACAGCATAAGGCCTATGGTATGCGATTAAGATTTAAAGTCTATATATGTGATGATGCTGAAAAGGCATTAATTTACCATGTAATCAGACAAGACCAAGAAACAAAAAAGGTAATTGTGGAAATAAATGAAGAGGAGTCTTCTGAAGAACTTGATGATGTTACACGTGAGTTTTTAATACAAATGGGCATGAAATCATTCAGAGCTGCACCAGAAGATGATCCAGTGCTGAAAGACATTCTCCAATATATGGATGATGACACTGAATCCATGGGTCATATATCTGAGGAGCAAGATCTACTTATTGATGATACGGTGCATTCACATGCAGATGAGTCTGGGAATAAAATTAATGATAGTTTAATTGTTGACAATGGAAACCTGACCAGTACAACAAAGGAAAACATAGCACAAATGTTTGAAACACCATTGAATTCAAACACGAATCCCAAATCCATAGAATCTCTTTTAAATCGTAATCCACGTGACGTAACTGCTGAAGAAACTAACACAGGATTCCTTGGGGAAAGGGAAGGCATGAAGCTTGAGACCACTGCTCTTCCTCAAGACTCGAAGTGAAAATGCCTGCTGAAGAAAATGCCAGTACCTTATTCAGTGCAAATGATCCGAGGAGTGAGATTAAAACTGTGGTTCGAAGTTTTTCAGACATGAACGTTTCAGAGCCAACTCAAGAATATATTAAAGTAGATAATTTTGAAGCAACAATGGAGTGCATTATTGGTGATGAAAGAAGAGGAAAGGGTGATTTAGATCCAGAATTCAGTCTGGATTCACAAGAGGATGACCATACAGAAGATCTTATTATAGTAGAAGGTGAAGACATTGTGGAAGTAAATGGGACAGACCAAACTCAGAGAGCAAAGAATAAAAAGGAGGATGCCATGGAAACAGGACAAGCTTCAGGGTCAGATTTGAATGATGAAATGCTGCTAAATGTGCAGAATCAGGCAAGTGAGTCTGATAGTGCCTCTGATCTCACACACCACTCTTACTCCAACCTGTACTACATGGGATATGCCACACATGAACCAGTCAGCGATGGTACCTTTAACGAAACAAATGCAGAATCTTCAGCGAATGATTCAAAAGCAGAACATCCACACTCTGCCTCGGAACCAAGTGATTCAGTGGAGACTTATCAAAATCACAACTTTTCAGTAGATTTCAAGGGCAAGGGAATGGAACGGGCTAAATCCAATGGAAGTGATAACAGCACAAGCAAAGAACAAGTATCAACCCATAGTGTGAAGGATATTGCATTGAATCAGACTTCGTATAACATTTATGACTACTACATACATTCTTCTGAAGAATCAAGTGAAGCAGACAATGAGGACACCGAGAAAGTGTTTATTTACCTGAAGAAAAATGTATCAGGCGACATCCGATATCGGTTTACGGCCACGCCTTTACAACCCAAAAGAAAACATTTCAGATACCAAGAGGAGAAGAAAGGAATTCATGTTTCAAAGATAAAAAGTTTGAGAAGATACATAAAGGGGACACCACAAAACCATCCTGAGAAGCATCCCAAGACCCGAGGAGCTGAACGACGGCAAGCAGTAGCTAAAATGATGATGAGACATAGAAAAAATGTAAAGACCCACATATCTCCAAGAGGATTTGGATCTATATTTGGTATTAAACAAAGAGTTCCAATTCCTCAACATAACCAGCAAAAGGGACTAAAAACAATTAATCTTAAACAAACGTATTCCCAAGTTTATCAAGATAAAAATTCAGACTTTATCATAGTAGGAATACCCAAAAAAAAGACCGGGAACAGTGTTGACTTTGATGAATTTATTGCTGATATAGATGTTGACATTCATGAATCTCCTGAAAATTTGAATGAAGAGGAGGCAAGTTTAGAACTTTCAAATCCTTATACTGATGACAGGAGAACACATTCAGAAACAGACCGGGATCCAGAGATGATAATCGAGCACTACTTACGAAGCAGCCTCGGAAATGTGAGACATTATTTCATTGCAGCAGAAGAAATCATTTGGGATTATGCAGAAAGTAATGTGTAAGTGTATAATTTCCACATTTTTTAAAAAAGAGTGCTTTTTTCCCATTGAAAACGTGTATAACCGAACGTTCTCCGTTAGTGATCTGCGTGTGTTAGATAGATTTCTGGTGGAATGTCTTGTAGGAGGCAACATTTTAGCTTTGATATAAAATAATGGCACATAATTTGACAGAGTTCATAAGGAAAAGGATCTTGAAGTGGATAATTCAATACTAGAGGTAATGAACGTATGGATCAAGGTTTTAGCAGTGATAGAAACAAGATTGGAGTTTAATCATACAAATTTGCCAAGACAGAGAAAAATATGGAGTAGAATAGAAATAAATACACTGTAATACACTCTATAAATATATCTGTAAAGAAGTCAATTCCTGGTGATATTTTGATTGATGTAAATAATTAGCAATGATGAAGTGTTGTTGCTATTTGCACTTTTTTATATATGGATAGGTAGATAGTGAGATCGATAAGTAGATAGATGGCGTTGGAGCGAGTGAGAGAGAGAGTGTCATTGTGTTCCAACCTCCCCTCATGCATACATGCTAAACAAGGGAATAGAGAGAAGGGGTGGGGGGGACAGGGAGAAATTTATAATGTCTGTGAGTAGAGGGGCAAGGAGGTGGAGCTGATAGGTAAGGAGAGGGGAAGGGATGGGGTCGAGGGAGCGGGTAACATAACATATAGGAGTAGGCCATTCGGCCCTTCGAGCCTGCCCCGCCATTCAATCATGGCTAATCTTCTAATCTAACTCCAGCTAATAACCTAACCCTGCCTTATCCCCATATCCCTTAGTCCCTTTTACAATAAGAAATCTATCTATCTCAGTCTTGGAATATGTTCAAGGGTGGTCAGTTTCATGTGGGTTATAGTGGTGATGAGAGAGGAATGGGAGACGGGTTCGAAGTTGTGGAGGAAGGGATGGGTAGGGGCTGGGGTGAGAGGGGGAGGGGATGATAGGCGGAAGGGCAGAGGTAGCTGAGCGGATGCCCTCAACTTTGGATTCGAAGCAGTTGGCAATGGAGGTGAGGATGGTCAAGGCGTGAGAGGGTGGGCGAAGGGGCCGGTTGATGATGGAGAAGAAGAGCTGGGGTTGTCTTTGACCTCCAAATTGTCTTGGAGTAAAATGAAGATTTAGCGGAGGCGAGGCAGAGCGGTAGGATTTGATATGGTCCAGCCAGATCTGCCGATGGATCGTTAAGTTCAATAGGACAGAATCTTGAAGATTAAAGTGAGAGGAGAAATGGTGGAGGAGGGTAGAGTGGTTCACAGTGTCAAAGACAGCAGAGAGATTGAGGAGGACAATGAGTCAGAGGGAGCCCTGGTCACAGATGGATGGAATGTAATTTGTTACCATGACCAGGGCTGTTTGGGCAACATGGAAACCCGATTGGAGCAGTTCATAAAGGGAGTGGCAGGAGAGGAAGGAGTGAAATGGGGAAGCAACAACTCTTTCAACCTTGGATGGCTTGTTTATGTGCTGTAGATTCTAAGTGAATCTGTGTAAATTTATTGTGGGATTTATTGTATATTTAACATCTCCAAATGTGTTTATAGAAATAATAAAATGAGCTCCACTGAACAAAGAAATACTCGTTATAAGAAAGTCATTTTCCGGAGATACACAGATGCCTTCTTTACAAAGCTATATGACCACGGAGAAAGAGACGAGCACTTGGGAATACTGGGACCTGTCATCAGAGCTGAGGTTAATGATATCATCAAGGTACTAATAACCAGATCGCATTATCTACTGCAAGCCCTGGATATGATGCTTAATTGCAAGTTCATGTTCCATTTAATCGTAGCAATCTCAATCACAGTATTCAACCTACAGCATATCATTCTGTCATATCTTCCAGACCAGCCAGAGAATACCACAGCTCCCAAGTGCATTCAGCTGCTCCAGTGACCTTTTTGACCAGCTATCAGTCATCTTTCCCCTCCCCACCCCCTTCAAATCCCAGCTCAGGTGCCCAGCCGGCAGTGTTAAGCTCTTTTGAGACCTTTCCACCTGAAATGCGCTAAATAAATGTAATTTTACATTGTATTGAATTGATTGTATTGTGGTTGAAGAAAAGTGTATGATCAACATCTTCTGAAAGAACTTTATTGTTCACCAGGTTATGTTCAAAAATCTTGCTTCAAGACCGTACTCTATCCACGCCCATGGGGTATCGTATGAAAAATCATCGGAAGGAATGAGCTATGAAGATTTTTCTACTGACTGGTTTAGATGGGATGATGTTGTCGCCCCTAACACCACTTATACTTACGTGTGGAATGTGCCACCCAGGTCTGCACCTACAAAAATGGACTCCGATTGCAAGGCCTGGGTCTATTATTCAAGTGTGGACTTTGTAAGTTGGTTGTTCGATTGAAATGTCTGTTGAACGGAAACCTGGTAAAATCATTTAATTATGTGATTACTCTATGTTGTGGTCCTTAGTAAATATTAAATGGGATCCAATGTGTAATATTTCTTAAAAGGATTCCTCAAGAAGGAATTCCATTAGAATTCCCATCGAGCCACATGAACTTCAATCCTGGAGTAGATCTCGCCAGATTGGAGACTTCCCAAGTTTGCACAATTTATGTTTGCCTTGGATTTTGCCCCTTAAAATATGTGACCTTGGGATGCTGAATCCTGAAATTCTTGTGGTCTTTGTGCTAAAATTTAAAAGTGTGAAGAATTTTGAAGCTGTTTTGGTGCAATTCTTTTTGGATACTGTCGAAAATCGGCATCCAATTTATGAGTGAATTTAAGTATTTTGCAAAATTGTGCATAATTTTAAGGCTGAGAAATGTGTGCCTCGGCACACTCGGGCTGTTCTCGAGTAGCCTATTGTGCTGAATGAAGTACAATAGAGTAACATAATGCTGCTGATTGAGTTATGGATGATCAATACCATAAAGTTAGACAATGATAATATACACTTCTCCTCAGGAGTAGCTTGTCTAACATTTAATAGATAAAATCATGGCAGAAATCAACTTCTATTCATTAAAATAATTGGTATGAAACAGATGGGCAAAGGAATAGCTTTATTTTTTAATAAGAGTTCAAAGTTGCCAGTGGGCATAGGTGGCAGGTAGCTTGGGTTAGAGAGGGTTCAGTCCCTCCCCCACTAAATCTACCTACAGCTCACCTCTTTAAGGGTAACTGAGAGGCGAAAGCCCTGAGACCTGAGGAGGACCAAAGCCAGTTCTCTGAGCAGCCCTAACTCGTGGAACTCAAGGGCCTCCTTTTGCCTCTCTCTCAACTTGTCGACGATGGCTGCCCACCTCCAGTCCAGCAGGCTGCTCGTTGGGGAGTCCTCACCTTTGATTGACTGAGGTGACAACGGCTGGCCTGTTTTGAAGGGATAGTTAGCATGGCACCACAGTCTTTTCACTAGCAATCGTATGAAACCTGGTTCCAGTACAAAGTTATACATTTTCGCATGTGTTTTCTGCAGGAGAAGGACATTAACTCAGGTTTAATTGGCCCTCTGGTGATCTGTCGAGAAGGAACGCTGAATAAAATCACCGAGATACCCAATGACGTTCGAGAGTTTGTAATGCTGTTTACAACTTTTGATGAAACAAAAAGTTGGTACCTGAACGATAATAAGGACAGAATCTGCCAGCAGCCCTGCCAAACCAGCAAGATGTCTCCAGATTTCATACAACGCAATACTTTTCATGGTATCACTGCTTTTCCAGCAATAAAACTGTAAAACCATTTTTAAAACATTCAAGTTAATTTGGTAAAGAAATAACTGGCATTTTTGTAATACCTTGTTTCGAAGCACCAAGGTCCCACAATCAGCCGTGAGTGAATGAAATTCCTAATACAAATAGCAGTTGATGAATCAGATGTGTTGGTTGAAATTAAGGCTTTGCTAGTTTAAGTAAAAAAGAATAATCATACCTTCAAAAACGATTAGCACTATTTTCATGTTTTTNCTTACTTAGCCAACAATCTGCTTTGCATTTGCAGCTATAAACGGACGCATTGACGGCAGCTTGAAAGGACTGATAATGTCTGAGACAGACATGGTAAGATGGTATTTGATTAACATGGACAGCTCAGATGATGTGCATTCCATTCGTTTCCATGGTCAAACCTTCATTGAGAAAAAAGACAAGCCACATCGACTGGGTGTTTATAATCTATATCCTGGTAAGGAAAGAGAATATCTATTACTCTTTTTATATAAAGTCAGATATTAGAGAAAAAAGGATGTTATGAAGAGAATTTGCATAAATTCAATTTCTCATAGTAATTTAAATCACAGTGAATTCTGCTTGACAGAGTCGAAGAACTGTGTGCTTCTGATTTTCTACGATGCAAGTTGTTGTTTCTAATTAGAAATGGCTTTCTATGCATTAAGATAAATATATAAGGAAAAATAGTTACACATGCTAAATATTTTACACAGGTGCCTTTGAAACTGTTGAAATGGGTCCATTAAAAGCTGGGATATGGCTAGTAGACTGTGAAGCTGGAAAACATTACAAAGCAGGAATGCGGGCACACTTCCTCGTATTATCAAAAGGTATATCAGAATATTGTTTGTAATGTATAATAATTAATAATGCATGCATTTTATATAACACTAATACTATCAAAGAATCTCAAAGCACTTTAGGAGTAATTGCTCTCAAATGTTGTCAAGACAATGGATTTGTAGGCGAATGTGGCAGCCAATTTGCACACAGAAAGTCGCTGACCTCCTGAACACAGACAACAGAAAACGATAACGATTTCCTCTGGGGAAGTGTATAACTTCAACTCAACAGCTTTCAAAGGCAGAGCCAAGACTGGATAATCATTGGGTGGGGAATACATTCTTGAGCACATTCACTATTTTTAAATTTTGATAATTGCTCTTTTCTTATTAAGAAATCTGTTCTACAATACCAACAACAACAACAACATATCAGACTTCATTATATCTTAAGGAGAATCGTGCTATATTGTGCTATTGAACTGCAGAGGCAGCTGCACTTCCACTCATTTTATTTTACCTGTTTGCCATCGACGTCTTCTGTCCTGCGGTTCCGACATCCTCAACTTACCCGACCTGTCCTTAAAACTCTCTGAACCCGTGCGCAACTTAGGTGTCAGGTTCGATTCCCAGTTATCCTTCCTCCCCCACATCCAGTCCCTGATGACCACTTTACTCCACCACCGCCACATTGCCCGTCTCCACCAATACCTCATTCCACAAGCTGCTGAAACCCTTGTCCATGCCTTCATCACCTCTCGGCTGGACTACTCAAACGACCTCCTCTCTGGTCTCCCGTACTCTATTATTCACAAAATTCAACTCATCGAAAACTCCACCGTCCACATTGTCACCCACACTAAACTCCGCAACCTGATTACTCCAGTCCTTGTCAAAATCCACTGGCACCCTGTGACATAGCGGATCAACTTCAACATCCTCACTCTAGTGTTTAAATCCCTCCACGCCATGGCAGCCCCCTATCTCTCCAACCTCCTCTCTCCTCACAGCAGTACTCGCTGCCTCCACTCTACTGGCTCCAGCCTGCTCCTTGTCCCCCAAATCCTTCGCTCCACCATCAGCGGCCGTGCCTTCAGCCACTATGCCCCGAAGCTATGGAACTCCTTCCCTCAGTCCCTTTGCCTCGCCCCTCTTTCCCATTTTCAGGTTGCCACTGAAGACCTTCCCCTTTGACCGTGCCCACAGTCACCTTCCCCCTTCCCCTGGCTCGGCATCAGGCTCCACCATTGTTAAGCGCTCTGGGACGCCGCCCAGCATGGAGGGCACTGTATAAATGTAAGTTGTTGTTGTTGCCATGCAAAGTTGAAGTAATGTTACAATAATAATTTAGTGTCCATCACAGAAACATAAAGAAATAATTTGGGAAATGGGATTGTTCCCAGATTCTCAAGCTGCAACTAACACAATTTCTACCTGTCCAGAATGCAACAAAACCCTGGGTATGATGTCTAAAATAATAACCGATTCACAGATCACAGCTTCAGATCATATAGGTGAGTGCCTCTTTTAAACTTTATAGAAATGGGACGATTGTGTGATGGGACAGGACTCCATTCTTTCATTTCTGGAATCCTGTTTGAAACTAGTTATATAATAATAATCTTTACATTCGATATAGTGCCTTTCACGTTGGGAGGACATCTCAAAGCGCTTCATAGGACATCCTGTAATGGTGACTATTTTGTGAGCAAATTAGTGCCCGTGTTAATGGTAATAGCGTCAAATTCAAATGGATTTGGGGAATTCCAATGCTGACCCATCAGGCATGAGTCTTGCGCACAGAACAAATGTAAGACTGTCACTAAATTGATGTTCTCAGTTGAAAAGGCAACAAGGATGACTAGTTTGAGAAATAAACACTGGGTCAGCGCAGACTCTCAGCTGAAGCTCAGACATGCTTGGGACAGTGTAGTGTGGAGGGAGTCTTAGACCTTATGCAGCCCTTCATGTCTCTGACTTGCGAATGCATGATGCTGATACTGGGGAAAAAAGCTTGAAAGAATTAATCCCATTTTTCAGCATTGATGTTCCGATCTCCCAAAATAAAACAAGGTTGATAGATTTTTGGTAGGTCAGGGTAATAAGAGATATGGAGAGAAAGCAGAGAATTGGAATCGAAGGGATTAGTTGAGGTACAGATCAGCCATGATCTAATTAAATGGCAAAACAGGCTTGAAGAGCTGAATGGCCTCCTCCTGTTCTCACGTTCCTAATAACTTCCCCCCTCCCCTCTCAGTAAATTAAAATAACTTTCTAAAAATATGCTTGCTTCAGAAACTTGGCTAATTTCACTCATTTCGCCAATATCTCATTCATTTAATTCTTTGTTAAAACATTTATAATAATGTGTGAAACCTGTTTATACTTCTGATTAGATATCAGATGAGATATGCCAAAAGCTGCATTCAGGTGTAACCTTGACCTGTGTAAACCTTGCCACATGGCACAGGTTCACTTCATGAGTAACCAGCCTTACCAATATGACCTTGGAAGTAAGCAATGCAAATGTTGAGGGATTTGATGCTGATTTATTGCCATTCAATTGCAATGCCCACGTTTGCCCTGATGCAGTTTTTCTAACCTCGCAAAGCCATCAGATTCCATGTTCTGTTCCCTGGACCAAAGCGATCAGTTGGCTTGGTGCCTACTGTATAGTGCAATGCTGTGTGCATTATGGAGATATTATGAATGGATTTCAGAGCCCTGCAGTAAAGCCATACTTGTATTATTAATATTATTATTGTGTCTACTAGTCACTGATATTCATGGTACATGGTACCAGTAAACCAGCAAATTACTGCATTTTTAATAAATGAATCCACAAAAAACTAGTAAGTGCTCGGGGATGCTACCCCGCGTGAAGGGCGCTATGTAAATGCAAGTTGTTGTAGTAGAATGCTTCTCAACAACAGTCGAAAGCCATGATTTGTGAGCTGGAAGTTCGATCCCATTGACCTAGCTTCTCAGATTGTGTCATTGAGAATGGAATTGGGAGCAGGCAGGATTCTGCCACACATCCCAGCCCATTTGATGTGCTAAATATCAGTGAACCACTCATAAATTGACCATGTTATGTCTTTACAAGTGGCTGGAAAGTGTGTGTATTTCATTTAGTACAGATTTCAATTAACTTACAATTCTCTCCCCTGCAGACACACGTACTGTCTCGGGGCACACGTGGAGAATAGACACTTGGATGAGTTGCCAAAGGGCACCTATGTTCAGGAAGCAGAGCCTTAACAGACATTGGCACTTTCTGAAAAGGAAAATGAAAGGTTGGAGTGGACTAGAGGAGGCGGGAAGGAGGGAGAAAGAGGACAAAATAATATCTCTACTGGGATTTACAAGTGCACACACATGACTAATACTTGTAATACTTGGGTTTAACTATATCTTCTATTTTCCTTTCCTATTAGAACATTGGGACCCTAGTCTGGCACGATTACACAGCAGCTACAGATACAATGCATGGAGTGTTAGAATGTTTGGCTTCAGAAAACCTTGGATTCAAGTATGTATTAGGCCACACAGATTAATCTTTGAATTTATATTGTCTTTCTTTTAAAAGAAAACTGAGTCTAAACATTTATTATTCGCCATAACATGTTCCTTCTGCTATATTTCACTGCAAAGCTCTCCAGAATGTTATCCTACATGAAGGGCGATAAAAGCTGCTGTGGCTGTGAGGAGAGGTGAAAAACACATAGATTTACACAGAATGTATAGAACTGAAACACCCATTCAGCCCATTGAGTCCCTGCTGGTGTTTATATATCATATGAACCTGCAGCAACACTTCACCCTTCTTCACTCAATCCTCAAACTTAGATACACATCTGAATTTTACATATCGATACAAATTAAAATTTCTGTAATCCACACTTGCCATTTGAATTTAGTTTTCCAGTTCATACTGAAGGCCACGTGTGTTAGTATAAAGCTGAAGAAATAGATCTCTTTGCTTAGTCATTAGGTCAGCAGATGTTTTGAAGGTTAAGGTCCATTCGTGTAAATTATTGGGTTTTTTCTAAGCATTTCCCAATATATTTGCTATATCACAGAATATTACTGAAAGACTAGTTTCGTCCAACAGCAGTTTATTTCCAATTCCTTTTTTTCTTGTGGAACTTTAAAATCCATTCAGTTAATAAGCGTTGTTGTGTTATAGGTTGATCTGCAAAAACCGATAGTGTTCACAAGGATTGATATCCAAGGGGCTTCGTCGTTTACCACACAGTATTACATCACAGCGTATTACATCATGTATAGCCAGGATGGAAAAACGTGGCTCTTCTACAATGGGAATAGCAGAAGTTACAAGCAGGTGAGTTTGAATTCTGAACTATGAAAGATTATGCACTATGAACTACTAACAATAACCACGTATTGACTTCTCAATCCACTCAGAGAATAATAATAGGAAAGAATATTAGTCTGAACATAATGGAGCTTCTAAGCCTTGGCAGATATCACTTCCATTATTATGGTTTTTTTTATCGAATGATATTTTGCACTTAACGTACAGTTTCTTCTGACGCTTACATACGAGTAAAAGATGCTTACGTTAGAAAGGCTTGGAAAGAAAATAAAGCACAAAGTACCCTTTGCAGGAATTCAGGATTTTTATAAGTAATTTTGGTGTTGAATTTCGTAGAATCATAGAATCTTTGGTTGTGAATTAGGGTGATGATTTTCAGCTCGTAAAATGCAAATGATTGATCCCAATGTGTGTCTATAATGTATGGTTTAGTATATACTAGTGTATTTTAATAATCCTTGCATTTTAGAATGCATGTTAAAGTTACCATTTTCAACAAAAAATAATTAAAACTATATAAAAAATAATTAGAACTACCATGCAGGATGAAAATGGCAAAGCAGGTTTGAGGAGCCCATTGCCCTCCTACTCTTCTTATGTTCCCATTTACATGGGCGAACATTGGCAAATGTCTAAAAACATGAAGTGGGTTACATATTCTCTCGGCTAGGAATGTGATAGAGTTTAAAGCTGGAAAAGATAACTAGCAAAGCAAACACTGGGTTTAATTGTACTTAGAGGTTGTGCTGATATAAGAGTTGGCACCAAAGATTTCCCATCAAAGATGATTCTTGTCCACACTTTAGATGCATTAACCGAAGGGAGAGAATTGGGGATAAAGTCTCTTCTTCTAAGATCGCTCTCTGCTGGCCACTCTTTCAAACAGAATCCTTCTTCGGTTAGCTCCAATAGTGAAAAATTCCCAATATAATCCCACAACAAAAGGATTGCTCGTGTTAGATCTATTGTTTCAATTGGGGCAAAACTTTTTAAAAAGTTTGTACAATGATATCTTGAAGAGATTATTCAATTTAATATCAAACCTTTTTTTAAATTAATACATGGCATTGATCCCTGTGAAAACATACATGGATTATTTCTAGTTTTGTTTATTTTGTGATACCTGTTTTAAGATTTTTTCAGGGAATTCTGATGCCAACACAGTAAAGAGTAACCTACTGAACCCCCCGATTATTGCTAGGTACATCAGGTTGTACCCAACATCCTTCAAAATCACCCCAACCCTTCGGATGGAATTATACGGCTGTAATTTGGATTGTGAGTACAGTTACACTGAATAATATTCCTTCTGGGTCTAGACTTACTCTACTAGCACGGCAATTTGGAGTGTCCAGAAATTGTCAAATTGCTTAAATACAGTCTTTAATTTTCAAAACTTATTAATTATAGATTAGTGTCTGTCTGCCTCAATTGGTAGCACTCTTGCCTCTAAATCAGAAGGTTGTGAGTTCAAACCCCAGGTCAGATCTTTGGACTCAGTCTAGACTGACACTTCAATGCAGTGTTGGAGCAGCACGGAATCGTCGGAGGTGCCATCCTTCAGATTAGACACAAATTAAAATCATTACACTCAACCATCAATCTTGTGAAGCAGTTTGATACACCTTCCCTAAGTGGAAGGGACTATATCAAATGTAAGGATGATTATAAATGTAAGGATTATTAAGTTATTTTAAGAACTACAGAATACAGGTCTCAAAATGAATTCAACATTCTGAAATGCAGCTTAGTAAATCTAGATCCAGGTGGAATTTCTACTGTCCGTTGTGCTAATTATCACATGAAATCTGATATGAAACATGACATGTTTCTACCTCAGATTTGTATTGCATGATTCTGTTGGGGAGGTGCATGTGTGTGGATGTCACATGAGCTCAGGAATAGGTTCTTGCTATTATGGCTTGTCTTCACCCCGTCATATCTCTGCACTTGATAGAATGGCTTGATCACAATTCAGATTCACATGCAGGAGCATTGGGAAGGCTGCTGTTGCCCATGGAACAGGAACCCTTTTGTCAGTAACCGGTGTCTGAGCACCATTGCATTTTGGCACAGGATAATTCTCCACACTGCTGAGATTGTAATCTCAATCTTGTAACTGTGGGAAAACCTGCTTATGTAGAGAGAGGGAATATCAGGGAGTGATAGAGTGCAGGTGGGCAACCCCTTAGAGTACAGTTCCTGTCCGCCATATCAGCTGCAAACTGCCCATAGCCCAGTGTGAGCAAGGGAGTAAAGAAAAGGGACTCTTAATCTTACAAATGTGTGAGCCTTTCTATTGATTCTGTCTTTTCAGACTGCTCTGAACCCCTCGGAATGAAGGATGGCCGTATTAAAAATGATCAGATAACTGCTTCGACCTTCAAAGTCAAATGGTGGAAATACTGGTACCCGTCACTCGCACGCCTGAACATGGAAGGTAGTGTTAATGCGTGGCAACCTGAGGTAAGCATGAAAAAATTACTGTATTCATAGCACTCTGTCACTAAGTGATGCCTGAAAATACTGAATGTTTTATTTTTGAACCAGGCACACAACACTAATCAATGGCTGCAGATTAACTTTCTGAAGAAAAAGAAGATAACAGGAATTATTACACAAGGGGTCAAGTACGTTTTGAATTTCGTCTTTGTGAAGACGTATTCCCTACATTATAGTGATGATGGAAATAAATGGCTTCCCTTTACAGATAACTCAGCTGTGGATGAAAAGGTAGGAAACATACTGTAAGATATTAATAATAGTAATAATCCTTGCATTTGACATAACATCTTATTACGTCTTCGAGAGGCCTCAAAGCGCTTCACAGAATTTACTGTAAAGTGAATTGACTGTGTATTTTGTGGGCAAAACACAGCAGCCAATTGTGCACAGCAGTGACCAAAGTTTTTTTTTGAGGGATCATAATCCCTGGAAAACGATCCGCCAATCGACTAACAACTGGGTTCCTCCTTACTGCTAGATAAACGACAGATGTGTGGAGTAAGGAAACTTGCCTAAGGTTTCTGATATGAAACATGACATGTTTCTACCTCAGATTTGTATTCCATGACTCTGTTGGGGAGGTGCATGTGCGTGGAAATTGAACTCGGGTCCTCTCACTTGCTCTAACCACTACACTACAGAACTCCTCCTGGTGACTGGTGCACAAATGGTGCTATCCTTCAAGAATCCTTTAAGTGTAGGGGAACAATTTGCGTATCTCATTACGGCACTCTCTAGAAATCTCTTCCCTAAATCCATCCACCTCTCACCCTATCTTACTACATTCAAAAAGAATGATGTGAGAAACGAGAGGTAGAATTTTACAATTGCTGCTGTCTTTGGCGCCCATATAGTACCATGGTATTTGCCTATGCAGAGCTCAAAGATTGATGTAAATCTGCATTGCCATTTTGAGTAAATGGATAAAATGTGCGCAGATATCAATTCATTTACCTGCCACTGTTCGTTGAGAAACTGTTTCCTCCTCTGAACGCAAGCAGGGCAATATTTTGGAACAAATTGATTCAGTGGGTGAATATGTGACATGGGTCAGAGTTAAACAGTATCACATAGGGTGATACTGCACAGAAACAAATGATTTGGTCTAACTTGTCTGTGCTAGTGTCTTTCCCCCTCACTTACCATCTATTGTTTATCTTAAATGTATTGATGATATTTGCTTCACTGAGAATGAGTTCTACGTTCTCACCAACCTCTGCATGAACAAGTTCCTCCTAAATTCCCTATTCGATCTACTATCTTTCTTTTATGCCTTTAGTTTTGAACACCCAACGAGTGGGAATAGCTTATCAACATCCACCTTATTGAATCGTTTCATAATTTTAAACACCTCTATCAGGTCCCATCATAATCGACCTCAATCGAGTTGTAGTGGAGGTGTTGAAAGTATTTTGCATTGAAAGTGCTTTCCCTCTTTAATACATTATTTTGCTCTGAGACATTATCCTAAGTGAAGGGCTGTGTATAAAAATGGAAGTTTCAAGCACTTTGTGAGGTCCTCCCAATGTGAAAGGCACCATATCAACGTAAATTCTATTGTGGAAGTTCTTGTTATTGTTTTGTGTATGAATACCTCATTAGGACAGGGGTTAACTGATAATTGTTTTCAATTCACAGATATTCGTAGGAAACAGTGATCATGATGGACTCAAGCAAAACTACATCGGTCCACCAATTGTTGCCCAATATATACGGATTATTCCAAAGAGTTGGAATGTTGGCATTGCGCTTCGAATAGAAATTTTAGGATGTGCTGTTGAATGAAAATGTCTTCAAAAGCATTCACAAGAGAACCTTTCCGTAAAAAAGGGAAAGCCTTGTTGCCATTAATGTCATCGGTGGCATATTATTTCTTTTGGAGAAAACGGTCAAGAAAGACAGAACATGCTTTTTTGCTGTTGTGAAAAAGGAAACTAAATTTTGCTGTTTATTTTCAAGTGTGGATTTATTAACTAAACATCAGAAAATAAAGTAATAAAATAAAGCTTGCTGCTTGGTGGACTTTTATGCATATTATACAGTCCATCGGTCCTATTAAAAAGTCCTATTAAAAAGTAAAATGTTTTTGAAGAACTCTTTGCAACAAAATGTACAGTATTTTAGATTGTCTATAGATAATTTTAAAATGTTTCCTTTTACTGTTGCTGAGATTTGTAGTTTGTTCACACTAACAGTATAATGTAATATTTCTTGAACTCTTAACAGCAAGAATTGTTCATTGTTATTAGTTTGTCTATCTCTTTGGATTTTTTTTACTTTTGTTATGTGAAGGTGTGACGTCAAAAGCATGATACTGTATGAGAGTTAGTGATTGATAGTATTTTAGAAAATAGGACACCAGACAAATTATTTCTAAATTTTGTATATCTTTGTTCCTTTGACTTCTCCTGAACTTTTTAAAATTTAGTTTGCTGTACACATTAAAGGACACATTGTTTCAATTGGCATTCCTGGTTTCTGATAGTAGATGAGATACATTATTTATATTGTACATACATTCCCTATAAGATTCCTCAAACACTACAGTCCTGTGAATTTTCCTGCATTGCAGCATTAAACAGATCCTAAACATTATTTACATGTATTAGTATAGTAAAACCATATTTTAGTTCCTTGTCTCACTTTTACTATGATAACCATTTACTTTCATGGCAATAGATCTGTTTTTCTTTATTTTGATGACAAAGAAATACATGGAAAATTACAGGAAATGTAAATAAAATCTCAAAATACGTCAAACTCAATGCCTTCCCCGTCCTGCAGGATATGCATACTGCTATTATGGAGAATTGCAACAACAAAAAAAAACATTCTCATCCCAAATTTCTACTAAAGTATAATTTATTTCATTCCTGGAAGATCTGAACTTAAGGAAGTCTTGTTTTGCATATATTCTAAATAGTTTTAAACAATCTTAAAATGTCACATAAAATCTAGATTTCAGTAAGACACAGTAATAAATAACTAACAATAATAACAAAATAACAATAACCACTTGTTATCAAACATGGATACAGATGTCGTTTTAAACAGTCTTTGTTTGAAAATCTGTTGCAAAGAATTGCAATGAACCTGAAGAGGTTTCTATATGGGCTGTTGCTCGTGAACAACAAATAAACACCAATAAAACAACAAATTACCTATCACTCCTATCCTCGAAAAAAACTTTCCCTCTCTGCTCTCCAACTTTCATTTGACAAAGTGCCACATGAAAGACTTGTAAGAAAGATAGAAGCCCATGGTATGAAAAGAACATGGATCCAGAACTGTCTGGGAGGCAGAGAGTTGTGGTGAACGGCTGCTTTTCTGACTGGAGCGAAGTGTACAGTGGCGTCCCCCAGGGATCGGTATTAGGACCACTGCTCTTAATATACATAAATGGTCTGGACTTGGGTATAGCAAGCACCATTTCCAAGTTTGCGGATGACACAAAGTTAGGTAATAATAATAATCCTTGCATTTGATATAGCGCTTTTCACGTCAGGAGGACGTCCCAAAGCGCTTCACAGAACACACTGTAAAGTGAATTGACTGTATATTTTTTGTGGGCGAACGCGGCAGCCAATTGCACACAGCAATGTCCCACAAACAGTCGTAGATTGAAAATGACCAATTTATTATTGTTTTGTTTTGGAGGGATTATTATTAGGTGTGTGGAGTAAGGAAACTTGCCCAAGGTTTCGCCCTCTGCCTGGAATTGAACTCGGGTCTCTCACTTGCAAAGCAAGTGCTCTAACCACTGAGCTACAGGACTACAAGTAGGGTAGTAAACAGTGAGAAGGATAGTAGCCAACTGCAGGAAGACATAGACAGAATGGTAAAATGGGCAGACACATGGCAGATGAATTTTAATGTGGAGAAATGCGAGGTAATGCATTTTGGTAGAAAGAATGAGAGGAGACAATATAGGCTGGTAATACAATCTTAAGGGGGTAAAAGAACAGAGAGACCTGGGGGTGCAGGTAAATTAATCCTTGAAGGTAGCAGGACAGGTAGATAAAGCTGTAAAAAGGGCATATCGGATAGGCTTTATAAATAGGGGCATAAAGTACAAGAGTCAGGAGGTTATGATTAACCTATATAAAACACTGGTTAGGCCTCAGTTAGAATACTGCGCCCAGTTCTGGGCACCACACTATAGGAAGGATGTTAAAGCATTGGAAAGGGTACAGAGGAGATTTACGAGGATGGTACCAGGAATGAGGGACCTTGATTATGAGGAAAGGCTAGAGAGGCTGGGATTGTTCTCATTGGAACAGAGGAGGTTACGAGGAGACCTAATAGAGGTCTACAAAATCATGAGGGGATTTGATAGGTTAGAAAAGGAAAAACTGTTTCCACTGGTGGGTGTGTTGGTGACTCAAGGTCACAGATTCAAAATAGTATCTAAAGGAAGCAGAGGGAAGGTGAGAAGAAATGTTTTCACGCAGCGAGTTGTTCGAATCTGGAACGCATTGCCAGAAAGGGTGGTCGAGGCCGATTCAATAACAACTTTTAAAAACGCGGTGGGTAGATATTTGAGGAGGACGGGTTTGCAGGGTTATGGGGAAAGGGCTGGGGAGTGGGATTGACATTGCATTGCTCTTTTCAAAGAGCTGGCACAAACTCGATGGGCCGAATGGCCTCTTTTTGTGCTGTACGATTCTATGATTCTATGATACCGCCCCATTTCAAATCTTCCTTTTCTATCAAAGGTCATGGAACAAGTTGTCATTTCGCTCTTTCCTTTCCTGGCATTCCCTCCATGAACCTCTCCAATCTGGGTTTCATGCTGCTCACAGCACCGAGATAGCCCTGGTCAAAGTGACAAATGACAATCCATCCATCTGCGAGCAGGGCTCTCTCTGACTCCTCGTCCTTCTCGACTTCTTTGGCCGCTTTCGACCACCATATTCTTCTCCACCGCCTCTCCTCTCAACTCCACTTCAATGCTTCTGTCCTTGCCTGGTTCCAATCCTACCTTTCCCACCATCTGCACTTTGTGGCCACCAACTGCTTCTCCTCTATCCCCCATACTGTCATGTGTGGGGTTCCGGGCTCTGTCCTCAGAGCCCTGCCGCTCGCCCATGTCATCGACAAGCATGGGGTCAATTTCCACATGTATGTGGATGACACCCAACTCTATCTCACCGCCGACACCAAACTCTATCTCGCCACCTCCGCCCTCGGCTCCAGGAACGTTAATGTCCTGGCTAGTTGTCTGGCTGACATTAAGTCCTGGACGAGAGCCAACTTCCTCCAGCTCAATGTTGACGAGAGAGGCCCTCCTGCTTGACTCACCTCAGTCCCTGGCAGCATCACCGTTCATTTCACTGAGCCACTTGTCATCTTGCCGAGTCAATCTGAAACCTCGGTGCCCTTTTTGACCCTCAGCTATCCTTCAAACTCCACATTCGTGCCGTGACCCGTTCTGCCTTTCCACACCGCCCCAACATTGCCCGCCTCCTCCACTGCCTCTCACTGCAGGCTGCCGAGACTCTGTTCCACTCTTTCATTATGTCCCGGCTTGACTACACCAATTGCCTGCTCACTGGACTTCCCAACTCTTTCAACAACAACAACAAAATTACATTTATAGCGCGCCTTTCACGTCGGGAGGACGTCCCGAGGCACTGGACAGTCAGGGGCCAGGACCCGAGCAGGGGGGAGGGGTGGGGTAGGGGTGAGGGAAGGCAGAGAGGTGGGAGGGTGACCGAAGGCACGATTCCTGAGTGTGGGGGCAGAGAGGCTGAAAGCTGCAGATTATTCAGAACTCCGCAGCTCCCGTCGCCTCCTGTCACCTCCGTTGTTGCCCAACTTCACTGGTCACCATTCCTCAGAGAATCGAGTGCAAAACCCTCATTCTTACCTTCAAGGCTCTCCACGGCTTTGCTCCCCCTACCCCTCCGACCTCATAACCCCATATCAGCCTGTCCGCTCCCTCCGCTCGCTGGACACCGGCTGCTTCAGGTCCCCCTCACATCCCATCTCACCACTGGCGTTCGGGCATTCAGCATCTCTGCCCCACACTCTGGATCTCTATCCCCCAATCCCTCCCCCTCACCCCTCTCTCTTGCGACCTTCAAGCCCTTGCAGGGGGCGGGGCCTGACTGGGAGGCGGGGCCTGACTGGGGGCAGGGCCTGACTGGGAGGCGGGGCCTGACTGGGAGGCGGGGTCTGACTGGGAGGCGGGGCCGGGATGGGAGGCGGGACCTGACTGGGGGCGGGGGAGAGATTGGGGGGCGGGGGCCTGACTGGGGGCGGGGTCGGGATGAGAGGCGGGACCTGACTGGGGGCGGGGCCGGATTGGGAGGCGGGGTCGGACTGGGAGGCCGGGGTGGGAGGCGGGGCCTGACTGGGGGCGGGGTCTGACTGGGAGGCGGGGTCTGACTGGGAGGCGGGGCCGGGATGGGAGGCGAGGCCTGACTGGGAGGCGGGGCCTGGCTGGGAGGCGGGGCCTGGCTGGGAGGCGGGGCCGGGATGGGAGGCGGGGCCGGGATGGGAGGCGGCGGTTGGTGCTTGGCAGCACGTGATGTCCTGGAGCTGCCGGGCAGGGCCGCTGTGATGGCCGCGCGGGGCTGGAGGTGGCTTCACCCCACTGTCCTGCTGTGTTTCTATGGCTTCTTCTGCAACGTCAGGCCGTCCGAACCCTTCCTGACGCCGTACCTCCTGGGCCCGGACAAAAACCTCACCCAGGAACAGGTGACATGTCAGGCCAGACAGCGGGGGGGGGGGCTGTGTGTGTGGGTGGGGGGGGTGCTGTGTGTGTGGGGGGGGTGCTGTGTGTGTGGGGGGGGTGCTGTGTGGGTGGGGGGGTGCTGTGTGGGTGGGGGGGGCTGTGCTGTGTGTGTGGGTGGGGGGGCTGTGCTGTGTGTGTGTGGGGGGGGGGCTGTGCTGTGTGTGTGGGTGGGGGGGGCTGTGCTGTGTGTGTGGGGGGGGGCTGTGTGGGTGGGGGGGGCTGTGCTGTGTTGGCGGGTGGGGGGTGGGAGGGGGCGTTTCCTTTAGTCAGTGAAGGAAAGTTATTTTATTTGATATTAATACAAACCGCAGTCAGTAACTGCTGGAGAGTGAGTGTGTCGCTGCAGCTGTAACACAGAGTGTCAGGAGTTGGGGTTAAGGAGGAGATTGTAGTTATTACAGTCCCATGTGTAGTGACTGTCTCCCAGTTTATTTTCCTTTTGTATTGTGTGTCGGACAGTGTGTGTGTTATTAAGTCCTGCAAATCCCAGAGAACTTCCCTGTAATGAATACTCCAAGGTCGCCTCATGGTCCAGCGCCGTCAAGGTCGCCAATCTGCTGATCTGACAGCCTCACGTGATTTCAATCAATTGCACACAGCGATGTCCCACAAACAGTCGTGGACTGAGTGACCAATTTATTATTTAATTATTTTCTTGAGGGATTATTATCAGGTGTGTGGAGCAAGGAAACGTGCCCAAGGTTTCGCCCTGACCTGCCGGGAATCAAA